GGCTGGGCCTTCCATGCCTTCATTCGCTGGGTACCTGGCCCGGCCTTCCATGCCTTCATTCGCTGGGTCCCCAGCCCGGCCTTCCATGCCTTCATTTGCTGGGTCCCTGGCTGGGCCTTCCATGCCTTCATTCCCTGGGTCCCTGGCCCGGCCTTCCATGCCTTCATTCGCTGGGTCCCTGGCCGGGCCTTCCATGCCTTCATTCGCTGGGTCCCTGGCCCAGCCTTCCATGCCTTCATTCCCTGGGTCCCTGGCCCGTCCTTCCATGCCTTCATTCGCTGGGTCCCTGGCTGGGCCTTCCATGCCTTCATTCCCTGGGTCCCTGGCTGGGCCTTCCATGCCTTCATTCCCTGGGTCCCTGGCTGGGCCTTCCATGCCTTCATTCACTGGGTCCCTGGCTGGGCCTTCCATGCCTTCATTCCCTGGGTCCCTGGCCCGGCCTTCCATGCCTTCATTCCCTGGGTCCCCGGCCCGGCCTTCCATGCCTTCATTCGCTGGGTCCCTGGCCCGGCCTTCCATGCCTTCATTCGCTGGGTCCCTGGCCCGGCCTTCCATGCCTTCATTTGCTGGGTCCCTGGCCCGGCCTTCCATGCCTTCATTCGCTGGGTCCCTGGCTGGGCCTTCCATGCCTTCATTTGCTGGGTCCCTGGCCCGGCCTTCCATGCCTTCATTCCCTGGGTCCCTGGCCCAGCCTTCCATGCCTTCATTCGCTGGGTCCCTGGCCCGGCCTTCCATGCCTTCATTCCCTGGGTCCGTGGCCCGTCCTTCCATGCCTTCATTCGCTGGGTCCCTGGCTGGGCCTTCCATGCCTTCATTCCCTGGGTCCCTGGCTGGGCCTTCCATGCCTTCATTCGCTGGGTCCCTGGCTGGGCCTTCCATGCCTTCATTCGCTGGGTCCTTGGCTGGGCCTTCCATGCCTTCATTCCCTGGGTCCCTGGCCCGGCCTTCCATGCCTTCATTCGCTGGGTCCCTGGCTGGGCCTTCCATGCCTTCATTCGCTGGGTCCCTGGCCCGGCCTTCCATGCCTTCATTCGCTGGGTCCCTGGCCCGGCCTTCCATGCCTTCATTCGCTGGGTCCCTGGCCCGGCCTTCCATGCCTTCATTCGCTGGGTCCCTGGCTGGGCCTTCCATGCCTTCATTCCCTGGGTCCCTGGCCCGGCCTTCCATGCCTTCATTCGCTGGGTCCCTGGCCGGGCCTTCCATGCCTTCATTCGCTGGGTCCCTGGCCCGGCCTTCCATGCCTTCATTCCCTGGGTCCCTGGCCCGTCCTTCCATGCCTTCATTCGCTGGGTCCCTGGCTGGGCCTTCCATGCCTTCATTCCCTGGGTCCCTGGCTGGGCCTTCCATGCCTTCATTCCCTGGGTCCCTGGCTGGGCCTTCCATGCCTTCATTCACTGGGTCCCTGGCTGGGCCTTCCATGCCTTCATTCCCTGGGTCCCTGGCTGGGCCTTCCATGCCTTCATTCCCTGGGTCCCTGGCTGGGCCTTCCATGCCTTCATTCACTGGGTCCCTGGCTGGGCCTTCCATGCCTTCATTCCCTGGGTCCCTGGCCCGGCCTTCCATGCCTTCATTCGCTGGGTCCCCAGCCCGGCCTTCCATGCCTTCATTCGCTGGGTCCCTGGCCCGGCCTTCCATGCCTTTATTCGCTGGGTCCCTGGCCCGGCCTTCCATGCCTTCATTTGCTGGGTCCCTGGCCCGGCCTTCCATGCCTTCATTCGCTGGGTCCCTGGCTGGGCCTTCCATGCCTTCATTTGCTGGGTCCCTGGCCCGGCCTTCCATGCCTTCATTCCCTGGGTCCCTGGCCCAGCCTTCCATGCCTTCATTCGCTGGGTCCCTGGCCCGGCCTTCCATGCCTTCATTCCCTGGGTCCCTGGCCCGTCCTTCCATGCCTTCATTCGCTGGGTCCCTGGCTGGGCCTTCCATGCCTTCATTCCCTGGGTCCCTGGCTGGGCCTTCCATGCCTTCATTCGCTGGGTCCCTGGCTGGGCCTTCCATGCCTTCATTCGCTGGGTCCTTGGCTGGGCCTTCCATGCCTTCATTCCCTGGGTCCCTGGCCCGGCCTTCCATGCCTTCATTCGCTGGGTCCCTGGCTGGGCCTTCCATGCCTTCATTCGCTGGGTCCCTGGCCCGGCCTTCCATGCCTTCATTCGCTGGGTCCCTGGCCCGGCCTTCCATGCCTTCATTCGCTGGGTCCCTGGCCCGGCCTTCCATGCCTTCATTCGCTGGGTCCCTGGCTGGGCCTTCCATGCCTTCATTCCCTGGGTCCCTGGCCCGGCCTTCCATGCCTTCATTCGCTGGGTCCCTGGCCGGGCCTTCCATGCCTTCATTCGCTGGGTCCCTGGCCCGGCCTTCCATGCCTTCATTCCCTGGGTCCCTGGCCCGTCCTTCCATGCCTTCATTCGCTGGGTCCCTGGCTGGGCCTTCCATGCCTTCATTCCCTGGGTCCCTGGCTGGGCCTTCCATGCCTTCATTCCCTGGGTCCCTGGCTGGGCCTTCCATGCCTTCATTCACTGGGTCCCTGGCTGGGCCTTCCATGCCTTCATTCCCTGGGTCCCTGGCTGGGCCTTCCATGCCTTCATTCCCTGGGTCCCTGGCTGGGCCTTCCATGCCTTCATTCACTGGGTCCCTGGCTGGGCCTTCCATGCCTTCATTCCCTGGGTCCCTGGCCCGGCCTTCCATGCCTTCATTCGCTGGGTCCCCAGCCTGGCCTTCCATGCCTTCATTCGCTGGGTCCCTGGCCCGGCCTTCCATGCCTTTATTCGCTGGGTCCCTGGCCCGGCCTTCCATGCCTTCATTCGCTGGGTCCCTGGCCCGGCCTTCCATGCCTTCATTCCCTGGGTCCCTGGCCCAGCCTTCCATGCCTTCATTCGCTGGGTCCCTGGCCCGGCCTTCCATGCCTTCATTCCCTGGGTCCCTGGCCCGTCCTTCCATGCCTTCATTCACTGGGTCCCTGGCTGGGCCTTCCATGCCTTCATTCCCTGGGTCCCTGGCTGGGCCTTCCATGCCTTCATTCGCTGGGTCCCTGGCTGGGCCTTCCATGCCTTCATTCGCTGGGTCCCTGGCTGGGCCTTCCATGCCTTCATTCGCTGGGTCCCTGGCTGGGCCTTCCATGCCTTCATTCGCTGGGTCCCTGGCTGGGCCTTCCATGCCTTCATTCGCTGGGTCCTTGGCCGGGCCTTCCATGCCTTCATTCGCTGGGTCCCTGGCCGGGCCTTCCATGCCTTCATTCGCTGGGTCCCTGGCCGGGCCTTCCATGCCTTCATTCGCTGGGTCCCTGGCCGGGCCTTCCATGCCTTCATTCGCTGGGTCCCTGGCCCGGCCTTCCATGCCTTCATTCGCTGGGTCCCTGGCCCGGCCTTCCATGCCTTCATTCGCTGGGTCCCTGGACATCCGCTTCATCGAGGACCTCTGCAGCAACAGTGTTGCAAACACATCCCAGCTTACAACTCATAACAATGCTGGTCTGTCTCCTGATTCTCAGTTCCTTTCCCATTTCACAGGCGTTCAGCTGTAGGTTTGTCACTGGTAGCCTTATTGAGGTGCTTTTCTTTTGCTCCTAGTTTCTTTTTTATAAAGGGGTTTGATTTTTCTCAGAGGATTTTTCTGCATCCATTGGAATGATAACGAGATTCTGGTTTGGCTTTGAGCTTGCTGATGGGATGCGTTACTTTCAATGACTGATGTGTGCAAACCATCCCTGCATGAAACCAACTCCATCGAGGTGTAGGGTCTTTTTAATGTGTTGTTGGGTCAACATCTGCAAGAATATTATTAGAATTGTTGTACCAATACTCAGCAGAGAGATTTATAATGCTCTTTGTTGTGTCTCTGGTTTGGGGACAAATCTAATATTTGCTTCATAGAACTGGCACAGTACTATCTATCTATTTTATGGAAGAGTTTGAAGAGCATTAGTTTAGTCCTTTAAAGGTCTGAGAATCTGGCTGTGAATTCATCCGGCTGGCTGGATTTTTCTTCGTTGGGAGACTCTTTGTTACTGCTCCAATCTCCTTGCCTGTTGTGGATGTGTTTAAGTGGATTACGGGCAATGTGAGCTGGAATATGAGAATGTGAGGGCCCCGTCTACAGCAGAGCATCTGCAGACAGCTGTTTATCTCTGGCTGCACTGAGTCTGTGTGGGCGTTTGTGGGCGTGGCTGTATCTGCCTTGGCTCTCAGATCATGAGGAGGAGATGACCAATTCCACCTCCTCACAGTATTCAGGTTACCATTTGCCAGTGGCATCTGGTCTTAGCAGACACATCCAGAGGCCACTGCCGTGGGAGCCCGTGGCAGGGCCGGGCGCTGCCGCACAGTTCTGAATGTGGTAATTGCATTTGCAGCCCTTCTTTGTGCAATGATATCATTTGCTTCCAACACAAACCCAGATTGTTTGTGTGTTAAAACTCACTGCCTGCCAATTTTGTCAGAGAGCAGAGCCAGTAACAAGGCACACTCTGCTTTATTCTCCTCTGAGAAGGAAAACGTTGCAAGCTTTTGGCAATTGTAACTTAAATCCACCAGACAAATTTCCTAACCTTATTCCCAGTCACCTCAGCCAGGAGAGGAGAAGCCACACAGGAAAGATGCCAGGACAGAGCTCTGTGACAGAACCCAGGGCTGCATGGGCGGAGAGCGATTTCTGACTAGCATCTAGTCCTTGCACACAAATCCAGTCCAGCCGTCTGAGGAGCTGGCCACCAGGATCCCCAGCCCCCTCCCTGAGCTATCTTAGGTCTGTGACAAGGTCAAGGGTCTCGAGATGTTACTCCTTCATATTTACCACCTTAGTCCTGGCCTCAGAAATTGTGTGAATAACACAAGCCATGACCCTAAAAACAGATGTAGCAATGTACAAAACCACAGCTGGGAGGCCAGAGGGGTGCTCAGCAGTCAGGACCCGCTGAGGACCAGCCCTGGAGCGGCAGCCACAGGCCAGAGGCCAGAGGGTGTGCCTGGAGCTGGCCCTCCACCCAGGACAATTCTGCCTCCTCCATCTAGCTCTGGCGCAAGCTTGCTCGTCTTGCCTGTAACTTTGTGGTCATCTTCATTCCCTGGGAAATGAGGATAAAGAAAATCGAGAGTAAGTATCTGGACCCAGGTGATGGGGCAGAATGCATGCCTGTGACCGGCTCCAGCCAGACGGTTCTGTTCTGTCCTGTCCTGGGGTGGGGAGGGGCACGCGGCTGGTGCTGCCCAGCTCAGGACACAGAGACGGAAGTCTGTTCCAGAAGGGACCGCTCCCCAAACTGTTTATCTGGTTCTGGTTGACCGCCCCCCCCCCCCCCCCCCCGCCAGTCCGTTGTGTAGTGCCTGCTCCTACCATCTCCTTTCAGGTCATTTTGGATCCGGCGTGGCTTCCTACTTCATATTCTTGAGATGGTTATTTGGAATTAACGTCATGCTCACAATTATGACGGGCGCTTTTATTGTCCTCCCCGAGGTAAGAACCGTCCCAGGGGCGGGGCCATTCACTAACAACGAGGTAGAGCTGGGTGATGACACGCGTTTTCAGGAGACTGGCAGGAGGGCTCGGCACACGGCGCCTCTCCTTCAGAGGGCCGCGTGGTGTTTCAGGTGACCACAGACCCGGACAGGGCTCCCAGCTCCCCTCGAGAGCAAAAGCCATCCATGCAGACACCAGCGAGCGTGGCTGTGTTATTACAAACTACGGAAAACGCAGTTTGAATTTTATGTCATTTTTAGCTTTTCTTTTGATCTTTTACAGCCATTTAAAAATGTACACGTGATTCCTATTTTCAGATCATACACAAAAGAGAGGTGGCAAGCTGCATTTCACCTTCATTCCAAGTTTCCCATTTAAAATAAAGCCCCTTTTGCAAATAAACTTCAGACAAGGCCATTCTCCTCCCAGGCGGTCACAGACACCAGGACCTCAGTGACCCCTGAAGCCACGCCCCTCCCAGACAGGGAGCCTGAAAGTGATCATCTGACCACTCAGGGCAAGGACTGAGCGGAAAGCCGCCTGCAGATCCCCCGGGGGTGGGAACTGTCCAGGCAGATGGAGGTCTTCCCCCTTGTCCTGCTGACCCCTTCCTTCTCCCGCCAGCTGATCGCAGGCCAGCCCTTTGGAAGCACGGCCAGCAAGACCATCCCCAGGGAGCAGGCTGCGTCCGCCCAGGACCTGGACACCATCTGGTCCCTGGGGGTAAGGTGGATGCCTGGACACACTCTTGCCCAGGGTGGGGGAGGAGGGCGAGGAGAGGGGGGAGGGGAAGGAGAGGAGGGGGGAAGGGAAGGAGGGGGTGAGGTTGGAGTGGAGAAGGGCGAATGGTCACCATCTGGGACTGACAGCACCACATGGGTGTCCCTCTTCCCCCTCCCCCCTCTCTACTCTTCCCCTCTCTCCCCCTCTCCCCTCCCCCCTCCCCTCTCCCCTCTCTCCTCCCCCCCTCCCTCTTCCCCCTCTCCCCCTCTCCTCCCCCCTCCCCCTTCCCTCTCTCCCCCCTCCCCTCCCTTTCCCCCCTCCCTCCCCCCTCTTCCCTCCCCCCTCTCCCCTCTCCTCTCTCTGCAGGGCCACCTGCAGTACTCAGCCCTCTTCTACGGCTACTATGGCAGAGAGAGGAGGATTGGGAGGGCTGGCTACCGGCTGCCCTTGGCCTATTTTCTGGTGGGGATGGCAGTGTTTGCATACAGCTTCATCATTCTCTTGAAAAAGTAAGTAAGCGTGCTCAGTTTCTCTAGGGCCTTGTAGGGAATTCTCACATGCGTGCACCATCGACAGCCTGGTGATGTTAGGCCTGTGCTGGGAGGAGGCCAGCCCCTCCTGTGTGGTCCTGGGTTCTAGCCATGCCTGGAGGGTGAGGCCTGGGGAGGCGCGTCCGAGGAGGTGGCCGCTGGCCGGGCAGGGGGACCCTGCGAAGCACGAGGCTGCGGGCTCAGAACGCAAGCCCGCTGGTGAGCGGTGGCTCCTTTGGAAGCTGGCGTCTGCGCTGGGTGAGGCTCAGCCCTGCAGGCCCTCGGCCCACTGGCCACACAGAAGAAAGTCACTGGCCGGCCGGGTGGGCAGGGGTGAGGAGCCAGCCGGGCGCCGCCAGCCAGCGTGGGTTCCTGGGGAGGGTTCGAGATGCAGCAGCGCCAAGCTCTCCGGGCTGGGCACAGGCGCGCGTGTCCGCACACGGCACACGCTGGCCACGGGAGGCCCTCCCGCGGCTCACACGCGCGTGTCCGCACACGGCACGCACTGGCCACGGGCAGCCCTCCCCCGGCTCACACGCGCGTGTCTGCACACGGCACACCCTGGGCACGGGCGGCCCTCCCGCGGCTCACACGCGCGTGTCCGCACACGGCCCTCCCGCGGCTCACACGCGCGTGCTTGTTTGCGCACGGCCCGTGGCTGGTAGCGCACGTCTGGAGCCCAGCCCTTGGGAGCCGGGGGAGGGGGATCGGAGCCGGCCTGGCGGCGTGGGCCGCCCTGTCCTCAAGACCGAACAGAGAGGCCGGGATGTGTCCAGGCGGCAGGGGCCGAGCCCGGAGCCGAAGCCCAGCCCAGAGCCCAGCCCAGCCCGGAGCCCAGCCCGGAGCCCAGCCCAGCCCAGAGCCCGAGCCCAGCCCCAGCCCAGCCCGGAGCCCGAGCCCAGCCCGAGCCCAGCCCGGAGCCCGAGCCCAGCCCGAGCCCAGCCCGAGCCCAGCCCGAGCCCAGCCCGGAGCCCGAGCCCAGCCAGGGGCAGCCCAGCCCAGCCCGGAGCCCGAGCCCAGCCAGGGGCAGCCCAGCCCAGCCCGGAGCCCAGCCCGGAGCCCGAGCCCAGCCAGGGGCAGCCCAGCCCAGCCCAGCCCAGCCCGGAGCCCGAGCCCAGACCAGCCCGGAGCCCAGCCCGGAGCCCGAGCCCAAGCCCAGCCCGAGCCCAGCCCGGAGCCCAGCCCGGAGCCCAAGCCCAGCCCAGCCCGAGCCCAGCCCGAGCCCAGCCCGGAGCCCGAGCCCAGCCCAGCCTGAGCCCAGCCCGAGCCCAGCCCGGAGCCCGAGCCCAGCCCGGAGCCCGAGCCCAGCCCAGCCCGAGCCCAGCCCAGCCCAGCCCAGCCCAGCCCGCAGCCCAGCCCAGCCCGGAGCCCAGCCCGAGCCCAGCCCAGCCCAGCCCAGCCCGGAGCCCAGCCCAGCCCAGCCCAGCCCAGCCCAGCCCAGCCCAGCCCAGCCCGGAGCCCAGCCCGAGCCCAGCCCAGCCCAGCCCGAGCCCAGCCCAGCCCAGCCCGGAGCCCAGCCCGGAGCCCAGCCCAGCCCAGCCCAGCCCAGCCCAGCCCGGAGACCAGCCCAGCCCAGCCCGAGCCCAGCCCAGCCCAGCCCAGCCCAGCCCAGCCCAGCCCGGAGCCCAGCCCGGAGCCCAGCCCAGCCCAGCCCAGCCCAGCCCAGCCCGGAGACCAGCCCAGCCCAGCCCGAGCCCAGCCCAGCCCAGCCCAGCCCAGCCCAGCCCAGCCCGGAGCCCAGCCCAGCCCAGCCCAGCCCGGAGCCCAGCCCGAGCCCAGCCCGGAGCCCGAGCCCAGCCCAGCCCGGAGCCCAGCCCGGAGCCCAGCCCAGCCCAGCCCAGCCCGGAGCCCAGCCCAGCCCAGCCCAGCCCAGCCCAGCCCAGCCCAGCCCGGAGCCCAGCCCGGAGCCCAGCCCGGAGCCCAGCCCAGCCCAGCCCAGCCCGGAGCCCAGCCCAGCCCAGCCCAGCCCGAGCCCAGCCCGGAGCCCAGCCCAGCCCAGCCCAGCCCAGCCCAGCCCGGAGCCCAGCCCAGCCCGGAGCCCAGCCCAGCCCAGCCCAGCCCGGAGCCCAGCCCAGCCCAGCCCGGAGCCCAGCCCAGCCCAGCCCAGCCCAGCCCGAGCCCAGCCCAGCCCAGCCCAGCCCGGAGCCCAGCCCAGCCCAGCCCGAGCCCAGCCCAGCCCAGCCCGGAGCCCAGCCCAGCCCAGCCCAGCCCAGCCCGGAGCCCAGCCCGGAGCCCAGCCCGGAGCCCGAGCCCAGCCCAGCCCGGCCCAGCCCAGCCCAGCCCAGCCCAGCCCAGCCCAGCCCGAGCCCAGCCCAGCCCAGCCCGAGCCCAGCCCAGCCCGAGCCCAGCCCAGCCCAGCCCAGCCCAGCCCGGAGCCCAGCCCAGCCCAGCCCAGCCCGAGCCCAGCCCGGAGCCCAGCCCAGCCCAGCCCAGCCCAGCCCAGCCCGGAGCCCAGCCCGGAGCCCAGCCCAGCCCAGCCCAGCCCGGAGCCCAGCCCAGCCCGGAGCCCAGCCCAGCCCAGCCCAGCCCGGAGCCCAGCCCAGCCCAGCCCGGAGCCCAGCCCAGCCCAGCCCAGCCCAGCCCGAGCCCAGCCCAGCCCAGCCCAGCCCGGAGCCCAGCCCAGCCCAGCCCGAGCCCAGCCCAGCCCAGCCCGGAGCCCAGCCCAGCCCAGCCCAGCCCAGCCCGGAGCCCAGCCCGGAGCCCAGCCCGGAGCCCGAGCCCAGCCCAGCCCGGCCCAGCCCAGCCCAGCCCAGCCCAGCCCAGCCCAGCCCGAGCCCAGCCCAGCCCAGCCCGAGCCCAGCCCAGCCCGAGCCCAGCCCAGCCCGGCCCAGCCCGGCCCAGCCCGAGCCCAGCCCCAGCCCAGCCCAGCCCAGCCCAGCCCAGCCCGGAGCCCAGCCCAGCCCAGCCCAGCCCAGCCCCAGCCCAGCCCCAGCCCAGCCCAGCCCAGCCCGGCCCAGCCCGAGCCCAGCCCAGCCCGAGCCCAGCCCAGCCCGGAGCCCAGCCCAGCCCAGCCCAGCCCAGCCCGAGCCCAGCCCAGCCCAGCCCAGCCCGGCCCAGCCCGAGCCCAGCCCAGCCCAGCCCAGCCCAGCCCGGCCCAGCCCGAGCCCAGCCCGGAGCCCGGCCCAGCCCGAGCCCAGCCCGGAGCCCGGCCCAGCCCGAGCCCAGCCCGGAGCCCAGCCCAGCCCAGCCCGGCTCCCGCGCTCTTCTCCCGGCAGGATGGCCAAGAACTCCCGCACCAGCCTTGCCAGCGCCTCCGATGAGAACTACACCTTCTGCTGGCGGGTGTTCTGCGCCTGGGACTACCTCATTGGAAACGCAGAGGCCGCCGAGAGCAAGACAGCCGCCATCCTGAACAGCATCCGGGTGCGTGAGGGGTCCAGGCGCAGAATGGACCGGGCCCCATCCGGTATGCCGGGGAGGCCACGCCCCCGGGAAGCCACGCCCCGGGAAGCCACGCCCCGGAGAGGCCGCGCCCCCGGGAAGCCACGCCCCGGGAAGCCACGCCCCGGAGAGGCCAGGCCCCTGCAAGGCCACGTCCTAGAGAGACCACGCCCCGGGAGGCCACGCCCCCGGAGAGGCCACGCCCCAGAGAGGCCAGGCCCACGTGAGGCCACGCCCCAGAGAGGCCAGTCCCCACGCGAGGCCACGCCCCTGTAGACCACGCCCCTAGAGGCATGCCCTGTGAAGACACACCGCCTTGACACTAAGCCCGGAAGTCACGCCTCCGGGAAGCCACGCCCCCCAGCACCCTGGGTGCCCCAGCGGCTCCTGATTCCGCCCCCCTCTAGCCTTGTAAAGTTTCAACTCGTTGCGTTTTACGTAAATCCCAGGATTACATACATGGTGCATGTATGTTACCTGCACTGGACGTTGGGAAGCCACGGTTTACTTTTTGCTCTCAGTCAGATGCAGTCAAATGTGCTCAGGAACTTGGGAGTCGCTGGGAACCCTGCTTTAAAGAAACCTTGTTCCACTCATTTGAAGAAAACTCTTTTTTGAACTGATGACTAGATCCTGGAGATCTAACTTGCTGCTCTCAGTAGAATCCTACCCAAGAAGCCAGGCATGGCAGCTCTGGGTTGGCATACGGGCTACGGTCACTCCAGGGTTAAACCCATGGCGGCGCTAAGCTTCTAATGCTGTGTGTGTTTCCTTAAAGGAGGCCATTCTGGAAGAGCAGGAAAAGAAGAAAAGCAAAAACCTGTAGGTATTGATTAGTGCTCCCGTGCTTCTGTCCGCACTAAGGTCTGCTTTAATGTCGTTGGAGCTTTAGTGAGATGGTGCCTTGTTAGTTACCAGACAGCCCTTCTTCCTGCATGTCCTGCGCTGGGCGCCGCAGGGTAGAGACCGCTTCCCCCTGGCACAGACCCGCGGGGCGGTGGGGGGGGGGGGGACCGCCACGCAGTCCCTCTCCTTTTGCTCAGGGGATGGATGGCTTTAGTGCCAACTTCTAGTTTGCGTAGTAAAGCCAATCTGCAAGTGCTGTAGGACAATAGGGAAGACATAAAGTGTCCAATTACGTTCACAATCTCGCAGGGTAAGTTCCTAGGTATGAGCTCTGCGGGCTAGCCTGGTGATGACACCTGGGATGGAGCAACAAGAGAAGGGCTTTCCCAGGGAGAGGCGCACCCCGCCCCGTGGGACACGCACCTCCTCCCAGGCACGGGAGGGGGCCGAGGGGTGCATCCTGCGGAGACCACACCCTGCCCTCGGGAGAGGGGCCCAGGGGTGGATCTCTCAGAGACCCCACCCTGCCCTCGGGAGAGGGGCCCAGGGGTGGATCCCGCGGAGACCCCACCCTGCCCTCGGGAGAGGGCCCAGGGGTGGATCCCTCAGAGACCCCACCCTGCCCTTGTGTGTCTGAGCTCCTCACGTCAGTCCTGGGCCCAGCCCTGCCTGGCCGCTGGACTCTTCATGCAGAAGGCCCATTCCCAGAGCCGCTGGGGGAGCGCGCACGGGCGCTCGGGAGACACCCTCGGGCCGGGGTGTAGAGCCCAGCAGTGTGGCCTCCTGTCCCCCGGCAGGCTGCGGGCACGGGTGCCCCTGCCCATGGCAGCGGCCCCCCTCCCGCACGCTGGCAGGCTGCCTTGGCTCTGGACTGGAGCCCCTGGCAGTGCTGGCAGCTCCAGACCAAACCGTCTGATGCAAAGATTCACTGTGAGAAGGCTTAAACCGTCAAACACACAGGTTTAAACCTGCGCCCAGTTCCCGTCGCGGCATTCTTGACCCCTTTGAAGATGATGGGGGTGACGGCGGCCATGGTCCTCAGCATGGACGGCGGCCCTGCGCGCTGTCCTAAGTGCCTAGGTCTCTGAGCTCCCGGGCGCGTCTCGGTTTCCCAGGCTCCTCTGGCCGCCTCTCTCCCCAGGGCAGTGACCATCGGCCTGAGGATCGTGGCCAACGCCCTGGTGCTCCTGTCCCTGGCGGGGAGCATCTGCCTCATCTATTTCGTGGTGGACCGGTCCCAGAGGCTGGAGCGGTCAAAGAAGGAGCTGACGCTTTGGGAAAAGAATGAGGTAACTGCCGGAACCTGCCGGGAGCGGCTGGCGGCCGCTCAGGACATCTCTAGAAACAAGCTCCCGGGACTCAGCGCAGGCCACTAGGGCTGCGAAGCGCTCCGCAGAACCCAGGCCTGGCTACAGGATCTGCTGGTCTGTGTGTCAGAACACCTTCGGGCTTCGAGCTTCACTGTCTGCGCCTTGCAGGGGTCCCCTCCCCTCTCCCCCCTCCCCGTCCCTCCTCCCCTCCCCTCTCCCCCCTCCCCGTCCCTCCTCCCCTCCCCTGTCCCCCCTCCCCGTCCCTCCTCCCCTCCCCTCTCCCCCCTCCCCATCCCTCTTCCCCTCCCCTGTCCCCCCTTCCCTGTCCCTCCTTGCTCCTCCCGTCCTTCCTGCCTCTGCACTCAGAAACCAGCCCTGCCTGCAGACTTGCATGCCTGCCCCTGACCTGCATCAAGGGCTGCCCACCATCCTCTGGCAGAGACGTGGGTAGCTTCCACATCCCTAGGCTTCCAGATCTGGCCCCGCACAGGTGGCCTGGGCCAGTCCTTCCTGCCAATCCACAAGTGGGAAATTACACAAGTGGAATTCTTAACATCTGTTAGAAGGCGGTTGTCAGAAAGGTTGACCGTGAGCACTTCCTGAGGTAACAGTGAGTATTGTACAAAAAATACATGCAAGCAATGAAGTGATTATTAATTTAACCTAAATGTATTCATTGATCAAACCTGATACCACACCTTTCTGTCTCATCAGTCAAGTGCATTATGTAGATGCTTTAAAGATATAGCAAAGAAATTATTGAGTTTAGTTCAAACACCATGTGTAGCAGCCAGAACTCTCCTTCCTTTTGCCATAAGAATGGAGAAACAAGAACCAGACATAATTCTCTAGATAATTAATCTTCCATGTACAGAAAGAATATTAAATTACCTCTCTGCCTTCCCTTTTCTATTTGTAATGATCACAGTTATTTCCATCTTCCATCCTAGGAAGAGAAAGTATAAATAAATAAGATGGTAATTGAAAAGTGTGGCCAAAATGCTGCTGGGCAGCCCATGGCTCGCAGGGCGCGCTCAGAGCCCAGGGAGAGGCGCAGAGGGAGCAGAGTCACAGCGGAGGGCCTTCTGGAGAAGGATGGCCAGTGCAGATGGGGGGCTTTCTGTGTAGGAGCTCCACGCCCACGACAGATCTCCTCTGCCCAGCTGTGGGCTTGGAGAGGCTGGCACAGGGCCCCTTGAGGAGCCGGCACGGGTTTGTGGGGGGCACAGGCCCGGCTGGCACGGGGGGGGGACTGGCCCGGCCAGCACAGGGGCTTGCGGGGGGCACAGGGGCTTGCGGGGGGCACAGGCCCGGTGGGCACGGGGGTTGTTGGGGGGCACAGGCCCGGTGGGCACGGGGGTTGTTAGGGGGCACAGGCCCGGCCAGCACAGGGGCTTGCGGGGGGCACAGGCCCGGCCGGCACAGGGACCCCTGGGCAGAGGCTTGGCACGCCTTCTCTCCGCAGGTGAGTGTGGTGGTCTCTCTCGTCACCATGCTAGCACCCTCTGCCTTTGACCTCATCGCCGCTCTGGAGATGTACCACCCTCGGACCACACTGCGCTTCCAGCTGGCGAGGTACAGCAGCCCCGGGACAAAGGCCCCTTCACGGTCAGCCATCCGCCACCCACAGGGCGAGCATGTCCCTGGAGGGAGGCAGGGCTGGCTTCTCCCTGGCGCCGCCACACACTGTGCACACACATCTGTGCCTTTGGTGCGCAGGACAGGAGAGAGAGGAGAGGCGGGGAAGGGGGCCAGAATGACACGGATGGAAAACTGGGTGCATGACTAGACACACAGATAATGAGGAAGAGGAGATGGGGCAAGGGAGGAGGAGGAGGAGAAGGAGAAAAGTAGGCAGGGAACAAACAAAAAGGAAGCGCAAGGTGGCGGAAGGCAGGCCTGGTTTTCCTCACTATCGTCCTCACTGGGAAGGAGTTTTCCAGACAACAGAGGAACAGGCTGCTCTGCTCCTAGCTCCCACAAGGTCAGATCAGAGATTCTTCCAGATTTGCCTGGAGCTGCTGGGGCTCTCGGTGGAGCCGCTGTCAGGGCACGCCCCCCACACTTCCAGAGTTGGGATGGCCCGTCCCTTCCTCTCCCACGGCCCCCACACTGGGTCCCGCAGGAGTCAGCCAGCATCTCGCAGGAGAGGATGTGTCAATGAATGTTTCACGTTTTCCAGGCCAGGTGTGAGTCTCAGCCAGGAGCACTGGCCAAAGTTGGCTCTTGTTCCAACAGATCTTGTTTGAAAGGCACAATCCACCCACAGCCATTTCAGAGGTGCAAAGCAAGAGGTTGGGCAAAACCTCAGCACCCAGGGTCAACGGGAAATGAGGCTGGGCCCAGACTCCCGGCCCTGGGTGCCCTCCCTGACCTGGGCGAGCAGTGCCCTCCCCTGCTCCTCTCCAGCAGCCATGGAGAGAATCCATTCCGTGATTGCATTTGGTCTAAAAGCAATCCTATTACACAGATTGGCCTCTTCAGTCATGCTTAAAACTAGAGAAACAGAGACGCAGAGAGACCCGGCCCAGACGAATTAGGGATGATTCTGATGCTAAGAGCAGAGGGTGGCGGCAGCCTAAGCTCCGACCCTAGGCACAGCGGCAACCGAGAGGCAGAAGCAGAGACGGGAGGCTGGTTTCAGCCAGCTGCCTCTGCGATCCGGCGCACTGCCCCTTAGATGGAGATTGGAGCGGTGTGCGGATCCGTGCTGTGGTGCGAGGGAAACGCTTCAGCCAGAACGCACGGCACACACGCCCTTCCCACCGCCGGCTCCAGCCTCTCTGTGGCACTAGGCTGTCTCTCCCCTCCCCTGCCCTCCCCTGCCCTCCCCTGCCCTCCTCTCCGTGCCCTCCTCTTCCCTCCCTCCCTTCCTTTTTGTTCTTTTTTCTCTGATATTCTGCTGCCAGCTTTGTCTCCTTAGTTATTTTTCAGGTAGAGTCATGGTTTTTGCCTGGGGCTGCCTCAGACAGCAATCCTCCTATCCCAGCCTCCCCTGCGGTGGCGTTCTAATGTAAAACATCAGATGACTGGTGGAGAGAGGGTCTCCCTAACTTTCTGTCCAGTCTGGCCTCAAAGCACAACCCTCCCAGACTCTGCTTCCAGAGTACCCGGGATTATCAGTGTGAGCCACCAGCCAACGACGCTGGGGTTCCTGACACTCTGAGCTGGGGTGGCAGCTGCAGAGGGGCTCACAGACCACCCGGGGCCCGTGGTGAATTGGTTTTAGAGCAGCTGGGTGATTTAAAGGCTGTCTGGTGCATCAAGGACAGGGCTGGTTGGGAGAGCCTGGGCCCGGGGGCCTGCGTGGGGCAGGCTTGTTCCTGAGGGGCTCCGGTCTCCAGGGTCCTCGTGCTGTACCTGGGGAACCTCTACAGCCTGATCATCGCCCTCCTGGACAAGGTGAACAGCATGAGCACTGGGGTGAGTGGCCGTGGCCCTCATGGACGTCAGGTCCACAGCTAACACCTGCCCTCCACAGCCGTGTCCAGGGCCAGGCGGCGGGTAAGGGTGGGGAGATCGGCCCACACCCCGGGCGAGTCCCTGGGGCAGGATCCTGGCTGGTAAGTGGCGGAGCTGAGGTCGGGGTGCTGACGTGCATCTGTGCTCAGCTGGCCCGCTGGGTGCCCTGGGGAACGCTGAGGCAGCTCTCACAAATGGCCACAGGCACAGCAGCGGCTGCGGGACTCCACGGACCATCGGGAGACGAATCCCACGGCCAGCGCTGGAGGAGAGGCCCAGCAGGTGTCCGTGGGCCTGCCCACCGGCCAGGCCGGCCACCCGGACCGCAGGGGAGGGGGCTTCCTGAGGCTCCTCGCCCGGGTGCTGGCCGGGACGGGAGGTAGAGGCTGATGGGGCCGTAGGGAGCCATTTTTCTGCACCAAGGCTCTGAGGCCCCAGACCTGGGTGGGCCCCGAGCAGCATTTGTGAATGGTCTCCACCCGCTTGAGTGCCAGCCTTCTCACGGACGTGAACAGCCAGCCTCACCGGGGACTCCCGGGGGCCTCCGACCCTTCTGGGCACCACAGGCAGCGTCTACGTCTCTAGGACAGGGAAGGGGAGGGAGGGCCGGGAGATTACTCCTGAGCAGTGCATCTCTGTGCTCTGTTAGCCGTGTGGGAGTCTCAGCTCCTCCAACATGCCCCAGCCTCTGTCCTTCCCTGCGCCCCCCCAGGACGCTTCTGCGGGGAACGGCACGCGTCCCCGGGTGGATCCCGCCGCCTTCTTCGCGACCAGGGTGACCTATGAGGACGGAACATGGTCCACACCACCCGCAAGGCCAGGGTCAGGACTCGGGAGGAACAGCACCTGGGGCCTGGAAGAGACGCGCGTGCCAGCTTACCCCACACCCCTCCCCGGGGCCAACAGCACCGCGCCGCCCCCCCAGAGCCCCCAGGACCAGTGCTGGGAGACCTACGTCGGCCAGGTGGGTCCCTCGGCCCCACGAGGCCCTCACCCCCTCACCCCTACGGGGCCCTCACCCCCTCACCCCACAGGGCCCTCACCCCACAGGGCCCTCACCCCCTCACCCCACAGGGCCCTCACCCCACAGGGCCCTCACCCCCTCACCCCACAGGGCCCTCACCCCACAGGGCCCTCACCCCCTCACCCCACAGGGCCCTCACCCCCTCACCCCACAGGGCCCTCACCCCCTCACCCCACAGGGCCCTCACCCCCACAGGGCCCTCACCCCCTGACCCCACAGGGCCCTCACCCCCTCACCCCACAGGGCCCTCACCCCCTCACCCCACAGGGCCCTCACCCCACAGGGCCCTCACCCCCTCACCCCACAGGGCCCTCACCCCCTCACCCCACAGGGCCCTCACCCCCACAGGAGACCTCACCCCACAGGGCCCTCACCCCACAGGAGACCTCACCCCACAGGGCCCTCACCCCCTCACCCCACAGGGCCCTCACCCCACAGGGCCCTCACCCCACAGGAGACCTCACCCCACAGGAGACCTCACCCCACAGGGCCCTCACCCCACAGGAGACCTCACCCCACAGGAGACCTCACCCCACAGGGCCCTCACCCCACAGGGCCCTCACCCCACAGGGCCCTCACCCCACAGGAGACCTCACCCCACAGGAGACCTCACCCCACAGGGCCCTCACCCCACAGGGCCCTCACCCCACAGGGCCCTCACCCCACAGGAGACCTCACCCCACAGGAGACCTCACCCCACAGGGCCCTCACCCCACAGGGCCCTCACCCCACAGGAGACCTCACCCCACAGGAGACCTCACCCCACAGGAGACCTCACCCCACAGGGCCCTCACCCCACAGGAGACCTCACCCCACAGGGCCCTCACCCCACAGGAGACCTCACCCCACAGGGCCCTCACCCCACAGGAGACCTCACCCCACAGGGCCCTCACCCCTACAGGGCCCTCACCCCCTCACCCCACAGGGCCCTCACCCCACAGGGCCCTCACCCCACAGGAGACCTCACCCCACAGGAGACCTCACCCCACAGGGCCCTCACCCCACAGGAGACCTCACCCCACAGGGCCCTCACCCCACAGGAGACCTCACCCCACAGGGCCCTCACCCCACAGGAGACCTCACCCCACAGGAGACCTCACCCCACAGGGCCCTCACCCCACAGGGCCCTCACCCCACAGGGCCCTCACCCCACAGGGCCCTCACCCCACAGGAGACCTCACCCCACAGGAGACCTCACCCCACAGAAGACCTCACCCCACAGGGCCCTCACCCCACAGGGCCCTCACCCCACAGGGCCCTCACCCCACAGGAGACCTCACCCCACAGGGCCCTCACCCCACAGGAGACCTCACCCCACAGGAGACCTCACCCCACAGGGCCCTCACCCCACAGGGCCCTCACCCCACAGGGCCCTCACCCCACAGGAGACCTCACCCCACAGGAGACCTCACCCCACAGAAGACCTCACCCCACAGGGCCCTCACCCCACAGGGCCCTCACCCCACAGGAGACCTCACCCCACAGGGCCCTCACCCCACAGGGCCCTCACCCCACAGGAGACCTCACCCCACAGGAGACCTCACCCCACAGGGCCCTCACCCCACAGGAGACCTCACCCCACAGGAGACCTCACCCCACAGGGCCCTCACCCCACAGGGCCCTCACCCCACAGGAGACCTCACCCCACAGGGCCCTCACCCCACAGGGCCCTCACCCCACAGGGCCCTCACCCCCACAGGAGACCTCACCCCACAGGGCCCTCACCCCCTCACCCCACAGGGCCCTCACCCCCTCACCCCCACAGGAGACCTCACCCCACAGGGCCCTCACCCCCTCACCCCCACAGGAGACCTCACCCCACAGGGCCCTCACCCCCTCACCCCCTGACCCCTACGGGGCCCTCACCCCCTCACCCCACAGGGCCCTCACCCCCTCACCCCCACAGGAGACCTCACCCCCTCACCCCCTCACCCCACAGGGCCCTCACCCCCTCACCCCACAGGGCCCTCACCCCCTCACCCCACAGGGCCCTCACCCCCTCACCCCACAGGGCCCTCTCCTCTACATCATCACAGCTTCTCTGAGGGGTTGCCATCCTGCTTCATAACTAAGCGAGCACTGTCCGGTGGGGTTTCCGTCAATGCGACAGTCAGGCGGAGCGTGGCGCGGTGGCTTGTGTGTGCCAGGCAGGGTCCCTGGGGTCCTTCTGGCCACGTGGAAACTGAGGCGGTGGTAACTGTCCTGAGAGCATGAGGGTGAAGAGCAGAATAAAGACTCAGCCGAGACACCTCTCCAAAGTCTGTTCCTACAGACTCTGCCTCCGGGCTTCACCTGGCGGTCCCCACCCGGGGCGGCTCCGGCTCCGTGGGCTGAGCCTCCCCCACCCGGGACAGCTCCATGGGCTGAGCCTCGGGGCTTCGCCTGGCAGTCCCCACCCGGGACAGCCCCGTGGGCTGAGCCTCCCCCACCCAGGACAGCTCCATGGGCTGAGCCTTGGGGCTTCACCTGGCGGTCCCCACCCAGGACAGCCCGTGGGCTGAGCCCTGCACTCAGAGCAGGGCCCCGCCTCAGGTCCCTTCCTAGTTTTACCTAAGGTGGCCTCAGCTATCAGCATCCAAATTTGAACTAACAACCCCTCAGTTGGGAAGTTCCTCCCTCCAGCTACCCTGCTGTGTAAAGATGGGAAACAAAGACCACCCCGGTGGCCCCTGGTCAGCCCCGAGAAGGAACTGAGCAAGGAGGGCCAGGGCAGGGGCGCTGTGAGAAGGCTGGGAGGAGCAGCTGCAGGAGGCTGGGCAGCTGCGGGAGGGAGGGCAGCTGCGGGAGGCTGGGCAGCTGCGGGAGGGAAGGCAGCTGCGGGAGGGAGGGGCAGCTGCGGGAGGGAGGGCAGCTGCGGGAGGGAGGGCAGCTGCGGGAGGCTGGGCAGCTGCGGGAGGGAGGGCAGCTGCGGGAGGGAGGGCAGCTGCGGGAGGGAGGAGCAGCTGCGGGAGGGAGGGCAGCTGCGGGAGGGAGGAGCAGCTGCGGGAGGGAGGGCAGCTGCGGGAGGGAGGGCAGCTGCGGGAGGGAGGGCAGCTGCGGGAGGGAGGGCAGCTGCGGGAGGCTGGGCAGCTGCGGGAGGGAGGGCAGCTGCGGGAGGGAGGGCAGCTGCGGGAGGGAGGAGCAGCTGCGGGAGGGAGGGCAGCTGCGGGAGGGAGGGCAGCTGCGGGAGGGAGGAGCAGCTGCGGGAGGGAGGGCAGCTGCGGGAGGGAGGGCAGCTGCGGGAGGGAGGGCAGCTGCGGGAGGGAGGGCAGCTGCGGGAGGCTGGGCAGCTGCGGGAGGGAGGGCAGCTGCGGGAGGGAGGGCAGCTGCGGGAGGGAGGAGCAGCTGCGGGAGGGAGGGCAGCTGCGGGAGGGAGGGCAGCTGCGGGAGGGAGGGCAGCTGCGGGAGGGAGGGCAGCTGCGGGAGGCTGGGCAGCTGCGGGAGGGAGGGCAGCTGCGGGAGGGAGGGCAGCTGCGGGAGGGAGGAGCAGCTGCGGGAGGGAGGGCAGCTGCGGGAGGGAGGGCAGCTGCGGGAGGGAGGGGCAGCTGCGGGAGGCTGGGCAGCTGCGGGAGGGAGGGCAGCTGCAGGAGGCTGGGCAGCTGCGGGAGGGAGGAGCAGCTGCGGGAGGCTGGGCAGCTGCGGGAGGGAGGGCAGCTGCGGGAGGGAGGAGCAGCTGCGGGAGGGAGGGCAGCTGCGGGAGGGAGGGCAGCTGCGGGAGGGAGGAGCAGCTGCGGGAGGGAGGGGCAGCTGCGGGAGGGAGGGGCAGCTGCGGGAGGGAGGGCAGCTGCAGGAGGCTGGGCAGCTGCGGGAGGGAGGGCAGCTGCGGGAGGGAGGGCAGCTGCGGGAGGGAGGGCAGCCCTGCAGCCGATTCCTGTGTCACAGGAGATGCTGAAGCTATCTGTCATCGACATGCTCTTCACCGTGGCAAGTATCCTGCTCATCGACTTCTTCCGGGGGCTTTTCGTTCGCTACTTAAGCGACTACTGGTGCTGGGACCTGGAGAGCAAGTTCGTGAGTCCCCTGCTGCATGGGGGCCTGGGGCTGGCCCAGGCGTGTCTGCGGGCTCCCCAGGAAGCGGCCGGCCCAGCTGGGCGACGCGTCCACGCTGCCCCGCATGGCGGTGAGCCCTTCGTCATACGGAATCTCTTGCCCTCTTCTAGCCTGAATACGGGGAGTTCAAAATAGCTGAGAATGTGCTGCACCTCGTGTACAACCAAGGGATGATCTGGTGAGCACCGGCCGCCCATCGCTGCTCACTCGCGATGCGGGCTGGAAGTGTGAACAGTGCGGGCCCGGCCCGGACCGCATAGACAGATCCCGTCAACGAGAGACTGAGGACACGGGCCGGGGAGCGGGCTCCCCTGCCCTAAACAATGGCACTTCTGTCCCCTCCACAAAGCAGACATTTGTCCTGCTCCACCCCTGAGCCACCCTCCCCTTCTTGCCCACCCTGTCCTGTTCCCCAAAAGTGGAAGTTGAGGTCTCAGACCTTGCAGGGACTTTCCCACGTCCTCAGGCCGAGGGTGTGAGTCTCAGAGCCCCAGCCCCGGCTCCTCCCGAGCCCGGCCAGGGAGGCCGCGCCAGCTGACCTTCCTTGTGCCTCAGGATGGGGGCCTTCTTCTCCCCGTGCCTCCCAGCGTTCAACGTGCTCAAGCTCATCGGCCTCATGTACCTGCGGAGCTGGGCTGTGCTCACCTGCAATGTGCCCCACCAGCAGGTGTTCCGGGCATCCAGGTCAGCGGGAACGCGGTCTGCGAGGAGGGGGTGGGGTGGGGCCCCCCGTGTGCCTCGCCCCGCCAGGGACCCCCAACCCGTCCTGTCCTGTCCTCTTCCCTCCATGAAGCACTGCCCACCACTCACCCTGGCACTGGCTGAAACTCAAGACATGTTTGTGGGGCTTGAACTCTGGGCCTGGGCGCTGTCCCTCAGGGCTTCAGCTCAAGGCGAGCGCTCTACCACTTGAGCCACAGCACCACTCCAGTCTTCTGAGTGGTTTATTGGAGATAAGAGTCTCATGGACTTTCCTGCCCGGGCTGGCTTTGAACCGTGACCCTGTGTAGCTAGGATTACAGGCGTGAGCCACCAGCACCCACCTGTTTTTAAGACTTTTTAATGACATTTAATGATTAGGTAGGAAAACTACAGCATTGTAAGTGTTAAGTAGCTTGGTGAATGTTCACACACCAGGCACCAACATGCACTTCACACCCAGGACAAAGAAACAGAGTGTGGGTGCCGCAGGGCTGGGCTGGATGTGCAGGCTCTCTCCGGGCAGTGTGGTCACGCCTCATGGTGTGTGTGTGTGTGTGCGTGTGTGTGCATGTGTGTGTGCATGCACATGCATGTGTGCGCACGTGTATGTGCATGTGTGTGTGCGTGTGTGTGCGCGTGTGCACGTGCACGTGTGTGTGCCTGCGTGTGCGTGTGTGCGCACACATGTGTGTGTGCGTATGTGTGTGCATGTGTGCACACGTGTGTGCGTGTGCGCACATGTGTGTGCCTGTGTGTGCGTGCATGCACATGTGTGTGTGCCTGTGTGTGTGCGCGCGTGTGTGTGTGCGTGCATGCACGTGTGTGTGTGCCTGTGTGTGTGCGCGTGTGTGTGTGCGTGCATGCACGTGTGTGTGTGCCTGTGTGCGTGCGTGCACGTGTGTGTGCCTGTGTGTGTGCGTGTGCGCACACGTGTGTGCGTGTGTGCGTGCTCGCACATGTGTGTGCCTGTGTGCGTGAGTGCGTGCACATGTGTGTGCCTGTGTGTGCGTGCATGCACATGTGTGTGCGCCTGTGTGTGCGCGTGTGTGCGCGCACACGTGTGTTGCACATATGTGTGTGCACGTGTGTGCGTGCGTGGGTTGCACGTGTGTGTGCGTGTGCACGCGCGCGTGTGTGTGCCTGTGTGTGTGTGTGTGTACGCGCGTGTGTGTGCGTGTGTGTGTGTGTGTGGCTTTGTGTCAGCTGTGTTCACTCCGGGGCCTGTCTCTGAGCCTCATCTCACAGAGAATGCATCCCTGTCCATCTGCGCTGCAGCCGAGGGCTGTGGCTCTCTCTGCTTCTGCCCAGCCGGGTCGCGGAGCTGCAGGCCACCGGCCCCGGGGCCATTTTGTACCCCAGAACCAGCGAAGGCTCTGGCTTCCCCGTGCCCCTGCGGGAATGCGCTCCACACAGGGTCCTTTCTCCTGAGTTGTGTTGGGTTTATAGCAGCATTTCCCATGCCACATGGAAGGCTCGGCTACCTTGCTTTGGTGTCTCATTTAATTGTGTGCCCATCCATATCTGTGACTCTCAAACATTTCAACCTGCAGGACAAGGTCACCTGGGCTGCTCCCAAGGTGTGTGTGCAAGTGCTCAGCCATGTTTATGAGATGGCCGGGGTGGGCTGGAGGGGCTGGGGTTGCCTTGAACATTGATTTCCGGAAGCTTGAGCTGTGTGAGACTCTGTGTCACATCGCTGCCGGGGAGCACTGAGAAGAGGACCTTCCTACCTGCATCCAGTTGGGGTGACTGTTGCTTCCTGGGCCCTTTGGGCATCTGCCTCTGAACTCATCTCACGGCATCCGGTCTCCCTCAGGTCCAACAACTTCTACCTGGCGATGCTCCTCTTCATGCTCTTCCTGTGCATGCTGCCCACCATCTTCGCCATTGCCCGCTACAAGCCATCTCAGAACTGTGGGCCGTTCAGGTGGGTGCGGCTGGCTGCCAGTGGCCGGGAAACTGTCCGCAGCATTGCTTTGACTTCCCCTCCCGCCTTGAGCCAGAAAGCTGGGTGGAGAGAGGTCAGCCCTGCCTCTCCTGAACCCAGCACAGCCTCCATCCTCGGTGCCAGGCGGTCTCCCCTCTGATGAGGGTGAAGTGGCAAAGTGCAAGACCAGGCTCCGGGCTCAATCCCCACAGCCAACATGTCATAAAACGAATCCATCCATCTTTGTGTGCTGGTAACACACAAGCACACTGTTGCTGATTTCCACCTCTTCCAACCCATAGATGTCTGCCTTGCAGACAATACCATGGGGTTCTTCCGTTTACACGTTTACCTCTGCCTTTTGTAGCTGATCTTGAGGTTCAGCTTCCAGACATTTTGATGGCTTGCAGCTTCCCGCTGCCGAAAGCGATAAAATCTGGACCGTTTCCTCCCTCACAGCGGACAAGAGAAGATTTACCACATCCTGTCCGAGACGGTGGAGAACGACTTCCCGGTGTGGCTCCGCTCCGTGGCGAGCCACGCCACCAGCCCCGTGGCCATCCTGCCAGCGGTGCTGCTTCTCTTGTGAGTGCCACCCTGCCCACCTCTGGGACAGACACGCATTGGTCACGAGACGGCTGTGCGTGGAATGAGGGACTGAGCCTGGGGGTCCATGCAGGGATTCTGAGTCAGAGCCTGGAGCCAGGCACCACCCCTGGGGGGGTGGCCTCTGAGCCCCAGCACAGCAAGGGGGCGCCACTGCACGGGGTAGCTGCGGATCCGTCAGCCGCATCTGGACTCCTGTGGGGGGCACCAGTGGCATCCGGGTGCCCGCCGTGGGAGCCACTGGGACTGAGCACTTAGCACCACCCACCACACGCCCCAGGAATGCAGTCTCAGAGGGGAGCTTCCCAGTTCGGCTGCTTTGGCTTAAAGCCCAGCTGGTTTTCGCCGCCCGGTTGCCTGCATGTCACGGGCAGAGCGTGTGCAGAGCCCAGGTATTGTGTGTCACGTGTCACGGGCAGAGCGTGTGCAGAGCCCAGGTCCTGCGTGTCACGGGCAAAGCGTGTGCAGAGCCCAGGTCCTGCGTGTCATGGGCAGAGCGTGTGCAGAGCCCAGGTCCTGCGTGTCACGGGCAAAGCGTGTGCAGAGCCCAGGTCCTGCGTGTCACGTGTCACGGGCAGAGCGTGTGCAGAGCCCAGGTCCTGCGTGTCACGTGTCATGGGCAGAGCATGTGCAGAGCCCAGGTCCTGCGTGTCACGGGCAAAGCGTGTGCAGAGCCCAGGTCCTGCGTGTCACGTGTCATGGGCAGAGCGTGTGCAGAGCCCAGGTCCTGCGTGTCACGTGTCACGGGCAGAGTGTGTGCAGAGCCCAGGTCCTGCGTGTCACGGGGCAGAGCGTGTGCAGAGCCCAGGTCCTGCGTGTCACGGGCAGAGTGTGTGCAGAGCCCAGGTCCTGCGTGTCACGTGTCACGGGCAGAGCGTGTGCAGAGCCCAGGTCCTGCGTGTCACGTGTCACGGGCAGAGCGTGTGCAGAGCCCAGGTCCTGCGTGTCACGGGCAGAGCGTGTGCAGAGCCCAGGTCCTGCGTGTCACGTGTCATGGGCAGAGCGTGTGCAGAGCCCAGGTCCTGCGTGTCACGGGGCAGAGCATGTGCAGAGCCCAGGTCCTGCGTGTCACGGGCAAAGCGTGTGCAGAGCCCAGGTCCTGCGTGTCACGTGTCATGGGCAGAGCGTGTGCAGAGCCCAGGTCCTGCGTGTCACGTGTCACGGGCAGAGCGTGTGCAGAGCCCAGGTCCTGCGTGTCACGGGGCAGAGCGTGTGCAGAGCCCAGGTCCTGCGTGTCACGGGGCAGAGCGTGTGCAGAGCCCAGGTCCTGCGTGTCACGGGCAGAGTGTGTGCAGAGCCCAGGTCCTGCGTGTCACGTGTCACGGGCAGAGCGTGTGCAGAGCCCAGGTCCTGCGTGTCACGTGTCACGGGCAGAGCATGTGCAGAGCCCAGGTCCTGCGTGTCACGTGTCACGGGCAGAGCGTGTGCAGAGCCCAGGTCCTGCGTGTCACGGGCAGAGCGTGTGCAGAGCCCAGGTCCTGAGGGAGGCTGAGAAGGCAGATGCAGCCCAGGCTCCTCCCCAGGGCTCCTGGGCGCGGGCGTGCCTGGCTCACCATGGTAGGGTGGGGCTCCCACGTGGGGCCCCAGCTTGCTTTCCACTGCCTGTGTGGGCAGGGCGCTGGGCCTAGGAGCCCCGGGCCGTGTGGGCGCTGGGCCTGGGAGCCCCGGGCCCGCGTGGGCAGGGCGCTGGGCCTGGGAGCCCCGGGCCGCGTGGGCAGGGCGCTGGGCCTGGGAGCCCCGGGCCGCGTGGGCAGGGCGCTGGGCCTGGGAGCCCCGGGCCGCCTGGGCAGGGCGCTGGGCCTGGGAGCCCCGGGCCGCCTGGGCAGGGCGCTGGGCCTGGGAGCCCCGGGCCGCGTGGGCAGGGCGCTGGGCCTGGGAGCCCAGGGGCTGCGTGGAACTCAGCTTCTGGCCATCTCTCCTAGCATGCTCATCTACTACCTGCAGAGCATTGCCCGGTCACTCAGGCTCAGCAACCAACAGCTCCGGATGCAGATACAAAATGCAAGTATTGCATTGACCGGGCCCTCAGACCTCCAGGTGGCGCTCTCTGGACCAGCCCAAGCCCCCCCCTCCCCCCCCCCCAAGCCCAAGGCCACCACCCCGGTCCTTGAGAGCTTTTCTGGGAGTATGAGCGGCAGCCCACATTTTCCAGAGACAAGCCTACTCCTCTTCCCTCTGCTCTGTGAGGGGCTGGTGCCTTGAACACGCCCACACCTGTGCCCTCCTATACCAGGCTCCTCCATGGGTCCCAGCCGGCTGGGAAGGAGGAGAAGAGGCCCCTCCCCATCCTCTGTCAAGGTGACAGCTGTCTCTGCCTCCCTTTGCTCCCTGGCCTTGTGCAGAAAGGGCCTTCCACTCTTTACAGTTAAAAAAAAAAATCCCCCTGCCCCCGGTGCTGGCAGCTCACGCCTGCCATCCTAGCCACTCAGGAGGCTGAGATATGAGGATCACGGTTCAAAGCCAGCCTGGGCAGGAACGTCTGTGAGACTCTTTATCTCAATGAACCACCAGAAAACCAGAAGTAGCACTGTGGCTCCAGTGGTAGAGAGCTAGTCTTGAGGCGCTGAAGACCTGAGGGACAGCGCCCAGGCCCTGAGTTCAAGACCCATGACTGACAAAAAAAAAAAAAAACCATAAATATCAGTTCATGCAAAGAAACAGGAGCTAGTCTTGTGAAAGGTCCAACTGGAAATGCATTTGGAGTCTCAGAGAGGTTCTGTGCTGCGAAACTCCATGGTTGATCCATACATTTCCCGTCGTGACTCAGGCCAGCTGTGCAGGTCAGACACCTCTAAAAAAAAATCCCAAAGCTGAAATGCTCCAGAAACTGAGGAACACCAGCACGAGGCCACAAGTGGACATTCCACACGGTGGCGCTTCATCTCATGCGTAAAATTACCTTCAAAGCTTGTGAGTGCATCCGAAGGGAAAACAAATTCTGTGTTTATATATTGTGTCCAAGATCTGAAAATCAAACCTCTCCGCCCCCGGCCGGCACCGGTGAGGGCTCTCGGCCTGGGCTGGGAGAATCTAAGGTGGCGGCTGAGTAGCCAGCCCTAAATGAAACCAGCTGGGTGTGAGGCCCCGTGTCTGTGCCCATCTCCTCAGTCAAGAGGCCTTAGACCGCGAGCTCTGCCCTCACCAACGGTAGTAGGTTGGCGCAGCCCAAGGTACAAACCATGACTCACAGATCTTTTACTCCCCACATGATTTTTTTTTTTTTTACTGCTTCCCACTAAATCCAAAACAACCCTGACATTCATTTACATTTTAGGCAAGATCTGAAGATAAGAAAAAGGCTGCCCAAATGATAGAGGGTGAGTATCTTTTGAAAACGCCAAAATCCAGTGTCTCAAAATAGAGCAGGACATGGTTCCAGGCCCACCACTGGCAGAATCCCCAAGCGCCAGTGGTGTTCCTTCACACCCCGCCAGGCGGCGCGCCGGACCCATCCCTCGCTGACTCCCTTCCCCTGGCCCTTCTTGTGCCTGCAGTGCGAATCCAGACGCAGGAGGAGAGCAGCAAGGGGCTTCCCCGGGACGGCCCCAGCCAGCTGGCCTCCGCCCAGGACAGTGGGAGCCTGGCCCGTTTTGACTCCCTGAGCAACAAAAGTGGCAAAGTAGAGACAATCGCCCACCCTGTGCCCCCGAGTCCTGGGCTGGGGCATGGTGGTCGCTGCTCACCTCTGCCTGATGGCTCCAAACGGAGGCCAGAACACCATACCCACAGGTGAGCCTTCCGTGACACGGGAAGCCGGCTTCCTGCGTGGGCCCAGACAGGGCAGGAAGTTGAGGTGTCCCCAGTGTCCTAAGTCATCAGCCAGAACCATGATGCTCCAGTTGTCAGCAGACAGGCCATGGGTTCAGAAGGGTGGTGCCCTGGCCTGAGATCTCAGAGGAGAGCTGGGGAGCGGGGGGCGTGAACTGTGAACTGTGAACTGGACCCCTCCCCCCGCATCTTCTATATACCTCAAGCAACCCTTCCTGGCAGCCTAGGGGGTGCATTGCCGTGGTCTAGGGGTGCATTGCCGTGACCTAGGGGTGCATTGCCGTGATCTAGAGGTCCATTGCCGTGGTCTAGGGGTGCATTGCCGTGGTCTAGGGGTGCATTGCCGTGGTCTAGGGGTGCATTGCCATGATCTAGGGGTGCATTGCCGTGGTCTAGGGGTGCATTGCCATGGTCTAGGGGTGCATTGCCGTTATCTAGGGGTGCATTGCCGTGACCTAGGGGTGCATTGCCGTGACCTAGGGGTACATTGCCGTGGTCTAGGGGTACATTGCCGTGGTCTAGGGGTGCATTGCCGTGACCTAGGGGTGCATTGCCGTGATCTAGGGGTGCATTGTTGTGGTCTAGGGGTGCATTGCCATGATCTAGGGGTGCATTGCCGTGGTCTAGGGGTGCATTGCCATGGTCTAGGGGTGCATTGCCGTGATCTAGGGGTGCATTGCCATGACCTAGGGGTGCATTGCCATGATCTAGGGGTGCATTGCCGTGGTCTAGGGGTACATTGCAGTGGTGTAGGGGTGCATTGCCGTGATCTAGGGATGCATTGCCGTGGTCTAGGGGTGCATTGCCGTGACCTAGGGGTGCATTGCCGTGACCTAGGGGTGCATTGCCATGACCTAGGGGTGCATTGTCGTGATCTAGGGGTACATTGCCATGATCTAGAGGTATATTGCCGTGGTCTAGGGATGCATTGCTGTGGTCTAGGGATGTATTGCCGTGGTCTAGGGGTGCATTGCCGTGACATAGGGGTGCGTTGCTGTGATCTAGAGGTACATTGCGGTGATCTAGGGGTGCATTGCTGTGGTCTAGGGAGTGCACTGGGGTCTTGGGGTTGCATTGCTGTGGAAAGGCCTTTTACATTGTTTGCCTTCCATTCTCTTAGCCCAAGACTGGCTGTGTTATGGGAAAGATCTGTATTTCAGTGGCAGCTGGTGCCTGAGTGTGGTCTCCTCCGTGAAGAGGCCACCAGAGTGGCTGTTTGTTGGAGGCCTTCCATGGACATAGGACATGCACAGGGTGACAGATCTCCCTAGCCCTGACTGCACGCGCCGCAGTGGTAGCAACACAGATAAATATCAAGGCCATCTCTTCACTCCTTTTCTTTTTTCTTGGTTTTGTTTGTCAGTCGTGGGGCCTGAACTCTGGCCTGGGCACTGTCCCTCAGCTCTTCAGCTCAAGGCTAGCGCTCTACCACTTGAGCCACAGTGCCACTTCTGGCTTTTTCTGTTTATGTGGTGCTGAGGAATCAAACCCAGGGCCTCCTGCATGCAAGGCAAGCACTCTACCACTGAGCCACCTTCCCAGCCCCCCTCTTGTTCTCTTTTGAAGCCTGTGACTAGATTTGGAAATAGAGGTCTCACTGTATGATGAGCTGTGCTCATATCTGTGTGGGGCTGACAACAAAGGCGGCTGCAAATATTCCCAGCCAGGCTGCTGGGCCATTCCAGTCTTCACAGGGAGGAGCCTGGGAGCAGGTGCAGCTCCCCCTCCCCCCCCCCCACAGGGAGGAGCCTGGGAGCAGGTGCAGCTCTCCCCCCCCCCCCCCCCGCCCCGCTGGGCCATTCCAGTCTTCACAGGGAGGAGCCTGGGAGCAGGTGCAGCTCCCCCTCCCCCGCCCCCACAGGGAGGAGCCTGGGAGCAGGTGCAGCTCCCCCCTCCCCCCCCCCTGCTGGGCCATTCCAGTCTTCACAGGGAGGAGCCTGGGAGCAGGTGCAGCTCCCCCCCCCCCCCCCCCCCCGCTGGGCCATTCCAGTCTTCACAGGGAGGAGCCTGGGAGCAGGTGCAGCTCCCCCCTCCCCCCCCCCCCCCCCGCTGGGCCATTCCAGTCTTCACAGGGAGGAGCCTGGGAGCAGGTGCAGCTCCCCCCCCCCCCCCGGGCCATTCTGGTCTTCACAGGGAGGAGCCTGGGAGCAGGTGCAGCTCCCCCCCCCCCCCCGGCCATTCTGGTCTTCACAGGGAGGAGCCTGGGAGCAGGTGCAGCTCCCCCCTCCCCCCCCCCCCTGGCCATTCTGGTCTTCACAGGGAGGAGCCTGGGAGCAGGTGCAGCTCCCCCCTCCCCCCCCCAGTGAACAGTTGAGGGATAGCCTGGGGAGCTGGGACGGGCTTGGAGGTAACAGTGTTCCTACGTGTGCCCCTCAGGCTAGCTCCCCACACATGTAGCTTCACAAGTGCTCCTCCAAGCCGAGGCTCCATTGTAAGACGTGTTGGCAGAAGTCCCTTCCCCTAACCCCCACAAGGAGGTTGATGCTGCCTGTCCCAGGGCCCTGAGCCTTCCGGAACAAACCTACTCCATGCAGTTTCCCACAGACATGTGTGTGTGTGTGTGTGTGTGTGTGTGTGTGTGTGTGTGTGCAGCCACAGAACACCCCGGAGCACCTTAAGATCGGTAACGGCCCTGGTTTGCAGGTGGCGACGCGGGCTGTGTGCGAGCACGGGTGACCTGTACCAGAGCAGACCCTGCGCCCCCGTGACGTGTGCACAGCACACGCAGGAACCAGTCAGCACCCCTGGCTGTGGGCCCAGGGTCCCGGCCCCCACGGCACATGGTCGTAGACCCCAGACCCCCAAATACCTCATCATGGACGAACGCAACTCTCACAGAAAAGCACAGCCAACGTTCCGGCCAGAGAGGCATTTCAGGATAGATGCTTCTGGTGACTTGGAGCGGCACGCCAGGGGCATGTCCCAGCATGTGTCCTGGGTACCGCTCCGGCCTCGCTCTCCACAGCTGAGTGAGGAAGAGGAGGAGGCCATGCTGAGGAGAGGCTTGGTCCCGTGGCCACTCCCCACCCGCTCTCTGACTGACCTCCCTGGGGCTCCTCACGTTTATATTGGCAAAAGGTCAGAAAGTGGCATTTTCAATCCTGAGTACCAGGGAAATACATCCTGCAGGCCGGGGGATTTTGGCTTTGAGTGCCAACCTGACCAACCCACATCTGTGTACAGAAAGCCATGTTCCCGAAACGGCCAGTACCCGCAGCCCCCTCTGAAGGCCTGGGGCAAGCCGGCCTTCACGGAGTCTGACTCCATGTCGGCAGCGTCCAGCAGCGACCAGCAGCACAGCAGCGCTGACCAGTACCTTCAAGCCACCCACGACCAGGGAGAGTTCCGGAGGCCTGCTGGCCAGCTAGGCAGAAGCAAGGCCAAGTCTGGGCAGGTGCTGGTGGCAGGTCTGAATGACCTGGTTTGCTCAAATGTCTAGGCCCCTGCTTTCAGGGAAGTGTGGGGCCGGTGCTTGGTCTCACGCCCCTGGAGAGGGTGCTTGCCTCTGGGTGCCAGAGATGTGTGGTGCGTGAACATGGCTTCACCGCCAGGACCCTCAGAATGCAACTTGCTTCCGCAGGCTGTGTGTCCAGTGCCCGTCACCACCCCGAAGCATCAGGCCATCATTCTGAGAAAACCTTCATCCTTTGCTCCCTTCCATGCAGGGCGACTAGAGATCATATGCCAGACAGACATCTCACAGCGCCCACAGACACCTGAGAGGCGTGTGCGCTGTGATCTAGTATCAGTGCCCCATAAAACACACCCAGAAACTACTGACTGTCCTTGAGGATTTCACAAGGCTTAATCAGTTTAGCACTAGAAGAGGGACGCATGCGTTGAGAGCTAGTCCTCACTCTGTTTTCTGGACTGTGTATCTGGACTCATTAGCCAGGACACTTGGCCTGCATGTAATGCAGGATTATCCTGTGGTTCATTGGGAAAGATGGAGATTAAGGCTCAATTGAGTCTGGGACTATTCAGGAGGGAGTAATTGTCTGCCTCTCTCGTCTACTTCTGCTTGCTGATCTCACTTGTACCTCGAGAAGTTTGCAGACTTCCTCTAGGCAGTCGATGGTGGGAGGATGTCAACCCAGAATTTCCAGACTCACACGCTCCACTGGCCAGGGCAGGGGACCTCGGGGCAGCCCACCAGCCTCACACCGCCTTTCCCTGTATGGCAGACCCCCTTCCAAAACTGCCTGCCACTGGGCAGAGCTTGACACCACGTGGGTTCCACGCGCCGTGGTCGCAGGGACAGTTCTCCCTGTAACGGTCACGCCAGACCATCTTCCCAATGCTCCTGTCTCCTCCACTGTATCCTCTGTGTTTGGAATGGTGGCTTATGGATACTATGCTTGTTTCCCAATGCCACGCCATATAACAGGATGCAAAAGCACGCATTGCAGTGGGAGGAGTGGCCCAGTAAACCGAGAGCGCATTCAGAGAATCTGGGACCAGAAGAAAGTTTTAAAATTGGGATGAGGCTACGTAAGTGGTCTGAATCAACTCTGTCCTTACGGCAGGGACGCAGGACGCAGGACACAGGACAAAGCTGGCAGCAGCCCAGGGCTGGGCAGCCTGCTGCCAGGCCGGAGTGCTGGCTGTGCCAGGGTGCGGCAACTCTCCCGCCAGGTTGTGGCTCTGGTGTGTTTTGCAATTGTTCTCGTTATCGTGCATCTGTGCATGAAATTCCCTATTGCACAACTGCCCAGCTTTACCTTCTTCCTGTTCCCGCCTGACTCCTGGGCTCCCATTTAGAGCCTGGCAGTTTTCATAGTTTGGTGACCAACAGAGGTGGAAACATGCTCAAATGTCACCTGTGTGTGAACATGCGTGTGCAGTTGTCACCTGTGTACCCAGTCCGTGCGGTTACCCTACATGCGTTGTTAGTTTGTTTTCAGGGTCCGTAAAGGACATGTGTGCCTCAAGCTCACTTAGGGAGATTGTAAGCTGCTATGTTATCCTGCTGAGTCCACAATACATGCAAAATACATTGTCTGTGTGTGCGGACTGTGCACAACACACGTGGCCTTGAAATCGCGTCTCCTCCTCGCTGCTACCTGCAGCGGGCCAGGCCTTCTCCGTTCACCTCACCGTGGGCACCGGCCCAGAGCCGCGAGGGCCCTGTCGGGTGAGAGGCCGGCCTTCCGCACAGCAGGCCAGGGCTGGCCGACCGCGGTGGGCTGGGGCCGCCCGCCCCCCGGCTCTAGCTTTTCTGTGTGCAGCCAGCATCCTGATTATGGGCCGAGTCCCCATCGGCGGGATCGCCTGCCCGCCGGGCCCCGCCCTCCGGGGTCGCCTGCCCGCCAGGCCCCGCCCTCCGGGGTCGCCTGCCCGCCGGGCCCCGCCCTCCGGGGGGAGATCACCTGCCCGCCAGGCCCCGCCCTCCGGGGGGGATCGCCTGCCCGCCGGGCCCCGCCCTCCGGGGGGGGTCGCCTGCCCGCCAGGCCCCGCCCTCCGGGGGGGTCGCCTGCCCGCCGGGCCCCGCCCTCCGGGGGGGTCGCCTGCCCGCCGGGCCCCGCCCTCCGGGGGGGTCGCCTGCCCGCCGGGCCCCGCCCTCCGGGGGGGTCGCCTGCCCGCCGGGCCCCGCCCTCCGGGGGGGATCACCTGCCCGCCGGGCCCCGCCCTCCGGGGTCGCCTGCCCGCCAGGCCCCGCCCTCCGGGGGGGATCACCTGCCCGCCGGGCCCCGCCCTCCGGGGTCGCCTGCCCGCCAGGCCCCGCCCTCCGGGGGGGGGGGTCGCCTGCCCGCCAGGCCCCGCCCTCCGGGGGGAGATCACCTGCCCGCCGGGCCCCGCCCTCCGGGGTCGCCTGCCCGCCAGGCCCCGCCCTCCGGGGGGGTCGCCTGCCCGCCAGGCCCCGCCCTCCGGGGGGAGATCACCTGCCCGCCGGGCCCCGCCCTCCGGGGGGAGATCACCTGCCCGCCGGGCCCCGCCCTCCGGGGGGGGATCGCCTGCCCGCCAGGCCCCGCCCTCCGGGGGGGGGGGAAATCACCTGCCCGCCAGGCCCCGCCCTCCGGGGGAGATCACCTGCCCGCCGGGCCCCGCCCTCCGGGGGGGTCGCCTGCCCGCCGGGCCCCGCCCTCCGGGGGGGTCGCCTGCCCGCCGGGCCCCGCCCTCCGGGGGGGGGGTCGCCTGCCCGCCGGGCCCCGCCCTCCGGGGTCGCCTGCCCGCCAGGCCCCGCCCTCCGGGGTCGCCTGCCCGCCGGGCCGCAGCCCCATCCTTCCTTGGGTCCCGAGCTGCCGCCCCCGGCCGCACAAGCTGGGCTCCGCCTCAGCGGCCGCACCTGTGCCGGGGCGCAGCGGCCTGGGTGCGTGGGCCCCGCCCGCACTCATCAGAGCCCCGCCCGCCCGCACTCATCAGGGCCCCGCCCGCACTCATCAGAGCCCCGCCCGCACTCATCAGAGCCCCGCCCGCACTCATCAGGGCCCCGCCCGCCCGCACTCATCAGAGCCCCGCCCGCACTCATCAGAGCCCCGCCCGCACTCATCAGAGCCCCGCCCGCACTCATCAGAGCCCCGCCCGCACTCATCAGGGCCCCGCCCGCACTCATCAGAGCCCCGCCCGCACTCATCAGGGCCCCGCCCGCCCGCACTCATCAGGGCCCCGCCCGCCCGCACTCATCAGAGCCCCGCCCGCCCGCACTCATCAGGGCCCCGCCCGCCCGCACTCATCAGGGCCCCGCCCGCCCGCACTCATCAGGGCCCCGCCCGCCCGCACTCATCAGAGCCCCGCCCGCCCGCACTCATCAGGGCCCCGCCCGCCCGCACTCATCAGGGCCCCGCCCGCCCGCACTCATCAGAGCCCCGCCCGCACTCATCAGAGCCCCGCCCGCACTCATCAGAGCCCCGCCCGCACTCATCAGGGCCCCGCCCGCACTCATCAGAGCCCCGCCCGCACTCATCAGGGCCCCGCCCGCCCGCACTCATCAGGGCCCCGCCCGCCCGCACTCATCAGAGCCCCGCCCGCCCGCACTCATCAGGGCCCCGCCCGCCCGCACTCATCAGAGCCCCGCCCGCCCGCACTCATCAGGGCCCCGCCCGCCCGCACTCATCAGAGCCGCGCCCGCACTCATCAGGGCCCCGCCCGCCCGCACTCATCAGGGCCCCGCCCGCCCGCACTCATCAGGGCCCCGCCCGCACTCATCAGAGCCCCGCCCGCCCGCCCGCACTCATCAGAGCCCCGCCCGCCCGCACTCATCAGGGCCCCGCCCGCCCGCACTCATCAGAGCCCCGCCCGCCCGCCCGCACTCATCAGGGCCCCGCCCGCCCGCACTCATCAGAGCCCCGCCCGCCCGCACTCATCAGAGCCCCGCCCGCCCGCACTCATCAGGGCCCCGCCCGCCCGCACTCATCAGAGCCCCGCCCGCCCGCCCGCACTCATCAGGGCCCCGCCCGCCCGCACTCATCAGAGCCCCGCCCGCCCGCACTCATCAGAGCCCCGCCCGCCCGCCCGCACTCATCAGGGCCCCGCCCGCACTCATCAGAGCCCCGCCCGCACTCATCAGAGCCCCGCCCGCCCGCACTCATCAGGGCCCCGCCCGCCCGCACTCATCAGGGCCCCGCCCGCACTCATCAGGGCCGCGCCCGCCCGCACTCATCAGGGCCGCGCCCGCCCGCACTCATCAGAGCCCCGCCCGCCCGCACTCATCAGGGCCGCGCCCGCCCGCCCGCACTCATCAGGGCCGCGCCCGCCCGCACTCATCAGGGCCCCGCCCGCACTCATCAGGGCCCCGCCCGCCCGCACTCATCAGGGCCGCGCCCGCGCCCCGCTGCCTGCCGCGCGGGGCAGCCCCGGGCCTGGTGCGGAGCGCCGGGCGCAGCACAGGTGCCGGACGCCAGTGCGCGTCCCCGTCGGTCCCGGGCCTGACCGGGCCGGCGCCGCGCCTTACGCCGCCGCCTTACGTCACCGCCTGACGTCGGCGCCTCCCTGCAATCCCGGGACCCTCCGCGGGGAGCCCGCCCCGGACCTGCCGATCGGAGGCCTGGGCGGGACCCACTGGGGCCCGGGCCAATCCTGGCGCGGGGCGTGGCCCCGGCTCCAGGCTCCGCCCCCTCCGCCTAGGCTCCGGGCTCTGAGCGCAGCCGCCACCTCTGCGAGCCGCCCGCGCCCCAGACCCGCGCCCCGCAGACCCGCAGACCCGCAGGCCCGCACCCCGCAGACCCGCAGCCCCGCGCCCCGCAGACCCGCAGCCCCGCAGACCCGCGCCCCGCAGCCCCGCGCCCCGCAGACCCGCGCCCCGCAGGCCCGCACCCCGCAGACCCGCAGCCCCGCGCCCCGCAGACCCGCGCCCCGCAGCCCCGCAGACCCACAGACCCGCACCCCGCAGCCCCGTGCCCAGCCGCCCGCGTCCCGCTCCCCACGCCCCGCAGCCCCGCGCCCGGCCGCCCGCGTCCTGCTCCCCACGCCCCGCTGCCCCGCAGCCCCACGCACCGCAGCCCCGCGCCCCGCAGCCCCGCGCCCCGCAGCCCCGCGACCGGCCGCCCGCGTCCTGCTCCCCACGCCCCGCAGCCCCGCGCCCCGCAGCCCCGCGCCCCGCAGCCCCGCAGCCCCGCGCCCCGCAGCCCCGCGCCCCGCAGCCCCGCAGCCCCGCGGCGCCATGGACCCGGCGCAGGCCGAGCAGGCCGGCGAGCAGGTGGCGGAGAAGCTGCTCTGGTACCGGCGGGACCCGGCGGGCTGGAAGACCTGCCGGGAAGGCGTGAGTAGGCCCGGCCGTGTGCGCCCCCTCCGGCCGGGCTGCCACCCCACGGGTCCCCAGCGCGACTCCGGGGCGGGGGCACCGGAGGCGCGGGCGACTTCTCTCCTGTGCGCTTCCTGGAGGGCGGAGCTGAGTCCCCGCCCTGCTAGAGACGACCGGAAGGGACGGAAGGGACCCCCAGACCGCAGCCATCAGAGCCACCCCTGCGAGAGACCACCCGAGGGACCCCCAGACCGCAGCCATCAGAGCCACCCCTGCTAGAGACCACCCAAGGGACCCCCAGACCACAGCCATCAGAGCCACCCCTGCTAGAGACCACCCGAGGGACCCCCAGGCCTCAGCCATCAGAGCCACCCCTGCTAGAGACCAAGCGAGGGATCCCCAGACCGCAGCCATCAGAGCCACCACCCCTGCCAGAGACCACCCGAGGGACCCCCAGACCGCAGCCATCAGAGCCACCCCTGCGAGAGACCACCTGAGGGACCCCCAGACCGCAGCCATCAGAGCCACCCCTGCCAGAGACCACCCGAGGGACCCCCAGACCAAAGCCATCAGAGCCACCCCTGCCAGAGACCACCCGAGGGACCCCCAGACCGCAGCCATCAGAGCCACCCCTGCCAGAGACCACCCGAGGGACCCCCAGACCAAAGCCATCAGAGCCACCCCTGCCAGAGACCACCCGAGAGACCCCCAGACCGCAGCCATCAGAGCCACCCCTGCCAGAGACCACCCGAGGGACCCCCAGACCGCAGCCATCAGAGCCACCACCCCTGCCAGAGACCACCCGAGGGACCCCCAGACCGCAGCCATCAGAGCCACCACCCCTGCGAGAGATCACCCGAGGGACCCCCAGACCTCAGCCATCAGAGCCACCACCCCTGCGAGAGACCACCCGAGGGACCCCCAGACCGCAGCCATCAGAGCCACCACCCCTGCGAGAGACCACCCGAGGGACCCCCAGACCTCAGCCATCAGAGCCACCACCCCTGCGAGAGACCACCCGAGGGACCCCCAGACCGCAGCCATCAGAGCCACCACCCCTGCGAGAGACCACCCGAGGGACCCCCAGACCGCAGCCATCAGAGCCACCACCCCTGCGAGAGACCACCCGAGGGACCCCCAGACCTCAGCCATCAGAGCCACCACCCCTGCGAGAGACCACCCGAGGGACCCCCAGACCAAAGCCATCAGAGCCACCACCCCTGCCAGAGACCACCCGAGGGACCCCCAGACCGCAGCCATCAGAGCCACCCCTGCTAGAGACCACCCGAGGGACCCCCAGACCTCAGCCATCAGAGCCACCCCTGCGAGAGACCACCCGAGGGACCCCCAGACCAAAGCCATCAGAGCCACCACCCCTGCGAGAGATCACCCGAGAGACCCCCAGACCTCAGCCATCAAGCAAGGGGGAATGGGGACCAGACCCCAGTGGGCCAGGCACAGCCTTGGAGAGGCCAGGCCCCAAGATAGACACAGCACCAAGACCCCCAACCCCTAGACAGACATGGCACCAAGACCCCCGACACCTAGACAGACAGGGCACCAAGACCCTCGACCCCTAGACAGACACAGGCCTGAGACCCCTGACCCCTAGACAGACACGAGCCTGAGACCCCTGACCCCTAGACAGACACGAGCCTGAGACCCCCAGCCCCTAGACAGACACGGGCCTGAGACCCTGGGTCCCGTCCTGAGGCACGAGTCCCAGGCCAGTGTCCCCGAGCCCCGCCAGCCCTGAAATGCTGCGGTTCTGTGCCTTTCGACAGAATGCAGTGACAGTGTCCTGGAGGCCATCTGTGGAGTTCCCAGGGCACCTGTAAGTTCATGCCTCCTCCAGAGCCTGGTGGAGCTGCTGCCTCACGCTGGGTCCTCTGGGTTTGCTCTTCAAAGATCAGCTCTGGCCCCTGTGATCAACTGGCCATGATCTTCTGGTTTAAAATCACTTCCAGAAAGCATAATGTCAGGCACTCTGTGTCTGCAGCCAGGGAGGTGGGTTCGGGTATGGCGGCCCCTGCTCTGCCTGGCGCAGGAGCCGTGACAGCTGCACAGTTCAGAAAGAACCCCAGGTAAACCGGTTTGATGGGTGCCTGGGGCACCAAATTCCCTTTTGCCCTGCAGGTACCGAGGAGAGGGGGTTCTGTCCGGGTCACCGCAGCAGGTGTGGCAGTGCCTGAAGCCCGGCGAGGGGGGCCTGCGGGAGAAGTGGGATGAGAACGTGAGCAGCGTTGAAATTATCCAGAGCTTCTCAGATGTGAGTTCTCCCAAGCACACTCCCTGCTGCAGTACCCAGGCCCCTGGGGAGGGAGGTGCTGCGGTGGTGAGTGGAGATTGACATGATCAGGTCCCAGGCCCAGCCTGGGAAATGCTGTCTCAGAGAGGCAGAGAAGCCTCAGCCCCGGGAACACCGACGGCATCAGCTGGGGAAGAAATGAAGCCCCGTCAGACACAGCCAGCACCGCCTAAAGGCTGGCTGCTGTACCTAGTCTGGCCCAGCCAGCACCTCCTGAAGGCTGGCTGGTGTACCTAGTCTGGCCCAGCTAGCACCTCCTGAAGGCTGGCTGGTGTACCTAGTCTGGCCCAGCCAGCACTTCCTGAAGGCTGGCTGGTATACCTAGTCTGGCCCAGCCAGCACCTCCTGAAGGCTGGCTGGTGTACCTAGTCTGGCCCAGCCAGCACTTCCTGAAGGCTGGCTGGTGTACCTAGTCTGGCCCAGCCAGCACTTCCTGAAGGCTGGCTGGTGTACCTAGTCTGGCCCAGCCAGCACTTCCTGAAGGCTGGACCTTGGACCTTTGGGCCCTTGGGCTCCAGCTAGTGCCCTGGTGCGGCATTGTTGAGAAATTCCATCCTAGTTGATAGCTACGTTTCCATAAACTGCAAAGCATGGCATTTTTGTTTGACATTCTTCTAATTGCATCTAAATAACATGCATTTTTATTTGCTGCCATCCATCTTAAAAGTATGCAAACACATTGTTGTGGAATAGGAATTGTGTGTAATTGAACTCCACTGAGCCCACTGGATTTTACTATAACATAATGCTTGTTTATACTTGAAGATCATCATCTTTCGTTGTAGGTATTGAGATTATTCTTTTAAAAACTGTTCATTTCCTTTGAGCGTAGGACTGTTTTTAATCAAGCGTCTGGGTTCAAGTATGGATGTAATTTATTACAAAAGCTTGGAAATTCCGATGAAGCATTATGAAACACGAAGACAAAGTTATTTTGCATCTCTGTGTAGATGTTGGGAACTTTGTCCTAATTAATTCATGTGTCTGTAGAACTGTAGGGCTTCTGCCAGAGAGATCCAGCCTCGGTAGCTGTTAAAGGCAGGAAGGACAGAAGGTGAGGCTGCTGGTTTGCACAGGCTTTTTACTAAAAAGCGGAGAAGCAGCCAACAGTGGGAGCTCTTACTGGCATTTCTCAGCGTGGTTTTGGAAAACCTCAGATACCCAGGTTATAAAATAAGCAGATGTCGAGTAAGCGGATGGACGAGTGGACACAGAGCCGTGCCGGCATCTCTGCTGCACGTGTGCCCTGCATCCCAGCCTGGCTCTCCGCCACCCCCTGGAATCGAGTTTACAGGAGCAATAATCAGGGTGGAAGCAGTGTAACTATTGAAAAAGCTGCCATTCCTGATGCCAAGCCCCAGAATTCACAAATGGCTAAGTGCCTTGTTCCTAATGCCAAGCTTTGGCATGTACCCTGTGTGCCGTTAGTTCTAGACAGTGGGATGAAAGGCAGTTGTGCGGTTGCCTCGATGTGGGGGAGGAAGCTGTGTGCAGTTGGTTCTAGGTGGTGGGAGAAGATGCAGGCAGTTGGTTTGAGACAGTGGGGGAGGAAGGCTTGCATGCCATTGGTTCTAGATGATGGGGGAGGAAGGCCTATGTGCAGTTGGTTCTAGATGGTGGAGGCTTACATGCAGTTTGTGGTGGATGGTGAGGAAGTAAGCTGTGTGCTGTTGGTTCTAGACAGTAGGAGAGGAAGCTACATTCAGTTGGTTACAGATGGTGGGGGAGGAAACTGCAGTTGGTTCTAGAAAGTGAGAGAGGAAGGCCTGCCTGCAATTGGTTCTAGATGGTGGGGCAGGAAAGCCTTGTGTGATTGGTTCTAGGTGGTGGGAAGGAGGCTGCATGACATTGGTTCTAGACAGTGAGAGAAGGCCTGTGTGCAGTTGGTGGGGGGAGGAAGGCTTGTATGCAGTTTGTTCTAGAGAGTGGGGGAGGAAGTTGTGTGCAGTTGGTTCTAGATGATGGCGGAAGCTGTGTGCGGTTGGTTCTAGATGATGGCGGAAGCTGTGTGCGGTTGGTTCTAGATGACAGGGGAAGCTGTGTGTGGTTGGTTCTGGATGACAGGAGAAGCTGCGTGCGGCTGGTTCTAGATGACAGCGGAAGGTGTGTGTGGTTGGTTCTAGATGACAGGGGAAGCTGTGTGTGGTTGGTTCTAGATGACGGGGGAAGCTGTGTGTGGTTGGTTCTGGATGATGGGGGAAGCGCGGTGGGTTCTAGATGATGGGGGGAAGCAGTGTGTGGTCAGTTCTAGATGACGGGGGGAAGCTGTGTGCGGTTGGTTCTAGATGACAGGGGAAGCTGCGTGTGGCTGGTTCTAGATGACGGCAGAAGCTGCGTGCGGTTGGTTCTAGATGGCGGAAGCTGCGTGCGGTTGGTTCTAGATGGTGGTGGAAGCAGTGTGCGGTTGGTTCTAGATGATGGGGGAAGCTGTATGCTGCTGGTTCTAGATGATGGGGAAAGCTGTATGCTGCTGGTTCTAGATGACAGCAGAAGCTGTGTGCTGTGTGGTTGGTTCTAGATGATGGGGGAAGCTGTGTGGGGTTGGTTCTGGATGACGGGGGAAGCTGTGTGTGTGTGATTGGTTTTGGATGACGGGGGAAGCTGTGTGCGGCTGGTTCTGGATGACGGGGAGGAAGCTGTGTGTGGTTGGTTCTGGATGATGGAGGAAGCTGTGTGTGGTTGGTTCTGGATGACGGGGGAGGCTGTTTGTGGTTGGTTCTGGATGATGGGGAGGAAGCTGTGTGTGGTTGGTTCTGGATGACGGGAAGCTGTGTGTGGTTGGTTCTGGATGACGGGGAGGAGGCTGTGTGTGGTTGGTTCTGGATGACGGGGAGGAAGCTGTTTGTGGTTGGTTCTGGATGACAGGGGAAGCTGTGTGTGGTTGGTTCTGGATGATGGGGAGGAAGCTGTGTGTGGTTGGTTCTGGATGATGGAGGAAGCTGTGTGTGGTTGGTTCTGGATGACAGGAAGCTGTGTGTGGTTGGTTCTGGATGATGGGGAGGAAGCTGTGTGTGGTTGGTTCTGGATGACGGGGGAGGCTGTTTGTGGCTGGTTCTGGATGACGGGGGAAGCTGTGTGTGGTTGGTTCTGGATGACGGGGAGGAAGCTGTGTGCGGTTGGTTCTGGATGATGGGGGAGGCTGTTTGTGGTTGGTTCTGGATGATGGGGGAAGCTGTGGTGGTTGGTTCTGGATGATGGAGGAAGCTGTGTGTGGTTGGTTCTGGATGACGGGGGAGGCTGTGTGCGGCTGGTTCTAGATGACGGGGAGGAAGCTGTGTGTGGTTGGTTCTGGATGATGGAGGAGGAAGCTGTGTGTGGTTGGTTCTGGATGATGGGGGAGGCTGTTTGTGGTTGGTTCTGGATGATGGGGGAAGCTGTGGTGGTTGGTTCTGGATGATGGAGGAAGCTGTGTGTGGTTGGTTCTGGATGACGGGGGAGGCTGTGTGTGGTTGGTTCTGGATGACAGGGGAGGCTGTTTGTGGTTGGTTCTGGATGACGGGGGAAGCTGTGTGCAGATGTCCCGGCTGCAGGGCAGTTTGGGCGGGACAGTTGTGGAAGCACAGTCGTTTGGAGACTGGCCCTGGGTGTGTCCGTTGGAAGTCGCTGCCCCATTCCCATGCCCCATGCTCCCCGTGCCCGCACCAGTGCCTCGCTCCGGCAGGCCACGGGTAGAAAGCGGGACAGGAAGACACATCTGGACGTAGACACGCGGTGTCTCATTACCTTGGCAGGCACTCAACATAACCAGAACCACAACGCCTTCTGCTGCCATGAAGCTCATTTCTCCCAGGGACTTTGTGGATGTGGTGTTAGTCAAGAAGTACGAGGATGGGACCATCGGCACCAATGGTGAGTGACAGTGGCCCATGTGCCAGGGGCCTCACGTTTGGAGTGCACCCCTCAGTTCCTGTGGAGACTCCCTTTTGTGCTGTGCTGGGCCCTGTCCCGGCTCCTGTCCTGGGGGTGGCAGTGTTCCTCCTCCTGCCCAGTGCCACCGCACAGCCCTGCCATTCCTCTGAGCGAGGGGTTGGGAGGCCGAGTGTGCACACAGCCGCTGTGAGCTGAGGACCCTCCCTCCTGCCTCCAAACGCCCTGCCTTCCGTTTTGTTACAGTCCTTGCTCAGAGTCCTGGGGGACTGGAGAGCTGTGCCCCTGCGGGTGGGTCTGAGGATGTGGGACACACCCGTGTGTATGTGTGAGCGCGTGCTTGAGTGTCAGGCCTTGACAGCACCCCGGGGGCCTGGTCCGCAGGTGCCAGGCTCCGGGGAGGTGCTGGCCTGCTGCCGGGCACCGGCGCCCTGACCATGAACTGTCTTCCAGCCACACACATCGAGCACCCGCTGTGCCCCCCGAAGCCAGGCTTTGTGAGAGGATTTAACCATCCTTGCGGCTGCTTTATCGAGCCTGTGCCAGGGTAAGGACTGTGGCTGCTTGGCCAGACCCTAGAGTGGACGGGAGACCGGCTGAAGACTCCAGTGTGCCAGACAAACCTGCTGCCAGCGGTGGGCTCACTGCTGCAGACCTCTGTCCCCCTCCCCCTCCATGTCTGTCTGTCTGTCTGCCTCTCTCTGTCTCACACACACACACACACACACACACACACACACACGTACGTACACGTGCTTGTGCCCAGCCCCTCTGCTGGGGATACGCAGTGCTGCTCTCTCCCCCTCCCTGTCTGTCTTTCCTCTCTCTGTCTGTATCTCTCTCTCTCTCTCTCACACACACACACGCACACACACACACACACAGGTGCTTGTGCCCAGCTCCTCTGCTGGGGACACGTCTCACCGCTGCTCTGTCTCACCGCCTTGCCGTTGCTTCCCCAGGGAGCCCGACAAGACCAACCTGGTCTCCTTCTTCCAGTCCGACCTAAGCGGCTTCCTCCCACAGAGCGTGGTGGATGCCTTCTTCCCACGCAGCATGGCTGAGTTTTACCCCAACCTTCAGAAAGCGGTGAAGAAATTCTGTAGCTGACCCTCTACTGCCGGCCTGGAGCGCCCGGAGCTGCCCGGCCTCCTCGGAGCACAGCCGGCCACCGCCACTGCCACTCAGGGCTTGCCCAGAAATGGGGACGGCAGCCAGGTGGACCAGGCTCCAGCCATCCCAGACTGACGGCGCGCGGGCACCGTGGGAGACGCTGTCCCCGCGACCATGTCCCCTGTTCTCATCACCTGGAGCACTGCACACCTGCTGCGTTCTTCTGACAGACCCTCCCCCACGCCCCATCCATGGCTTCTATACCGCCTAAGACTCGGGCCCACAATTTGGAGAAATGAGAGTTTAAACCATCAGATAAGAACAAGAAAAAGCCAGGCCGGGCGCCAGTGGCTCACAGCTGTCATCCTAGCTACTCAGGAGACTGAGATCTGAGGGTCACAGTCCAAAGCCAGCCTGGGCAGGAAAGTCTATGAGACCATTATCTCCAATAAACCACTCAGAAAACCAGGAGTGGCGCTGTGGCTCAAGTGGTAGAGCGCTGGCCTTGAGCTGAAGAGCTGAGGGACAGTGCCCAGGCCCAGAGTTCAAGACCAACCACTGACCAAAAACAAACAAACATGAAAATATGTCTTCTTGGATTCCACACTGTGATCTCTGTTCTTGCATCTTCCTCCCTGCTGTGAGTGACCTTCTTGGTCCCTGGAAGTCGGGGTTTTGATCTGCACCGTGGGGTGAATGCTATTTGGGGGCGACTCTAAGCCGAGCACGCTGGTCCCATTTGTCCTTGGGGAGAAGCCTTGTGTCTGCTTTCCTTGGTCCTTCACCAGAAGCTGGGACACACAGCACACACTGGCCTGTGCCAGGGAGAGTGACCATATTGCCTGGCAGAGCTGGACAGGGAGGGGGCACAATGGCCTCTGCTTGTGTTCAGAGGATATAAACTATGCAAATGTCTCCTGTGATCACAGACCTCCTCTACCCACTGTCTCCTGTGACCACACACACAGACCTCCTCTACCCACTGTCTGCTATGATCACAGACCTCCTCTACCCACTGTCTCCTGTGATCACAGACCTCCTCTACCCACTGTCTGCTGTGATCACACACAGACCTCCTCTACCCACTGTCTCCTGTGACCACACACAGACCTCCTCTACCCACTGTCTGCTGTGATCACAGACCTCCTCTACCCACTGTCTGCTGTGATCACACACAGACCTCCTCTACCCACTGTCTGCTGTGATCACACACAGACCTCCTCTACCCACTGTCTGCTGTGACCACACACAGACCTCCTCTACCCACTGTCTGCTGTGACCACAGACACAGACCTCCTCTACCCACTGTCTGCTGTGACCACACACAGACCTCCTCTACCCACTGTCTGCTGTGATCACACACAGACCTCCTCTACCCACTGTCTCCTGTGATCACACACAGACCTCCTCTACCCACTGTCTCCTGTGATCACACACAGACCTCCTCTACCCACTGTCTCCTGTGATCACAGACAGACCTCCTCTACCCACTGTCTGCTGTGATCACACACAGACCTCCTCTACCCACTGTCTCCTGTGATCACACACAGACCTCCTCTACCCACTGTCTCCTGTGATCACAGACCTCCTCTACCCACTGTCTGCTGTGATCACAGAGACCTCCTCTACCCACTGTCTGCTGTGATCACAGACCTCCTCTACCCACTGTCTCCTGTGATCACACACAGACCTCCTCTACCCACTGTCTCCTGTGATCACACACAGACCTCCTCTACCCACTGTCTCCTGTGATCACACACAGACCTCCTCTACCCACTGGCTGCTGTGACCACACACAGACCTCCTCTACCCACTGTCTGCTGTGACCACACACAGACCTCCTCTACCCACTGTCTCCTGTGATCACAGACCTCCTCTACCCACTGGCTGCTGTGACCACACACAGACCTCCTCTACCCACTGTTTGCTGTGATCACAGAGACCTCCTCTACCCACTGTCTCCTGTGATCACACACAGACCTCCTCTACCCACTGTCTGCTGTGATCACAGAGACCTCCTCTACCCACTGTCTGCTGTGATCACACACAGACCTCCTCTACCCACTGTCTGCTGTGATCACACACAGACCTCCTCTACCCACTGTCTGCTGTGATCACAGACAGACCTCCTCTACCCACTGTCTCCTGTGATCACAGACAGACCTCCTCTACCCACTGTCTGCTGTGATCACACACAGACCTCCTCTACCCACTGTCTCCTGTGATCACACACAGACCTCCTCTACCCACTGTCTCCTGTGATCACAGACCTCCTCTACCCACTGTCTGCTGTGATCACACACAGACCTCCTCTACCCACTGTCTCCTGTGATCACACACAGACCTCCTCTACCCACTGTCTGCTGTGATCACACACAGACCTCCTCTACCCACTGTCTCCTGTGATCACAGACCTCCTCTACCCACTGTCTCCTGTGATCACACACAGACCTCCTCTACCCACTGTCTGCTGTGATCACACACAGACCTCCTCTACCCACTGTCTGCTGTGATCACACACAGACCTCCTCTACCCACTGTCTCCTGTGATCACACACAGACCTCCTCTACCCACTGTCTGCTGTGATCACAGACCTCCTCTACCCACTGTCTCCTGTGATCACACACAGACCTCCTCTACCCACTGTCTCCTGTGACCACACACAGACCTCCTCTACCCACTGTCTCCTGTGATCACACACAGACCTCCTCTACCCACTGTCTGCTGTGATCACACACAGACCTCCTCTACCCACTGTCTGCTGTGATCACACACAGACCTCCTCTACCCACTGTCTGCTGTGATCACACACAGACCTCCTCTACCCACTGTCTGCTGTGATCACAGACCTCCTCTACCCACTGTCTGCTGTGATCACACACAGACCTCCTCTACCCACTGTCTCCTGTGATCACACACAGACCTCCTCTACCCACTGTCTCCTGTGACCACACACAGACCTCCTCTACCCACTGTCTCCTGTGATCACAGACCTCCTCTACCCACTGTCTCCTGTGATCACACACAGACCTCCTCTACCCACTGTCTCCTGTGATCACACACAGACCTCCTCTACCCACTGTCTCCTGTGATCACAGACAGACCTCCTCTACCCACTGTCTGCTGTGATCACACACAGACCTCCTCTACCCACTGTCTCCTGTGATCACACACAGACCTCCTCTACCCACTGTCTCCTGTGATCACAGACCTCCTCTACCCACTGTCTGCTGTGATCACAGAGACCTCCTCTACCCACTGTCTGCTGTGATCACAGACCTCCTCTACCCACTGTCTCCTGTGATCACACACAGACCTCCTCTACCCACTGTCTCCTGTGATCACACACAGACCTCCTCTACCCACTGTCTCCTGTGATCACACACAGACCTCCTCTACCCACTGTCTGCTGTGACCACACACAGACCTCCTCTACCCACTGTCTGCTGTGACCACACACAGACCTCCTCTACCCACTGTCTCCTGTGATCACAGACCTCCTCTACCCACTGTCTGCTGTGACCACACACAGACCTCCTCTACCCACTGTTTGCTGTGATCACAGAGACCTCCTCTACCCACTGTCTCCTGTGATCACACACAGACCTCCTCTACCCACTGTCTGCTGTGATCACAGAGACCTCCTCTACCCACTGTCTGCTGTGATCACACACAGACCTCCTCTACCCACTGTCTGCTGTGATCACACACAGACCTCCTCTACCCACTGTCTGCTGTGATCACAGACAGACCTCCTCTACCCACTGTCTCCTGTGATCACAGACAGACCTCCTCTACCCACTGTCTGCTGTGATCACACACAGACCTCCTCTACCCACTGTCTCCTGTGATCACACACAGACCTCCTCTACCCACTGTCTCCTGTGATCACAGACCTCCTCTACCCACTGTCTGCTGTGATCACACACAGACCTCCTCTACCCACTGTCTCCTGTGATCACACACAGACCTCCTCTACCCACTGTCTGCTGTGATCACACACAGACCTCCTCTACCCACTGTCTCCTGTGATCACAGACCTCCTCTACCCACTGTCTCCTGTGATCACACACAGACCTCCTCTACCCACTGTCTGCTGTGATCACACACAGACCTCCTCTACCCACTGTCTGCTGTGATCACACACAGACCTCCTCTACCCACTGTCTCCTGTGATCACACACAGACCTCCTCTACCCACTGTCTGCTGTGATCACAGACCTCCTCTACCCACTGTCTCCTGTGATCACACACAGACCTCCTCTACCCACTGTCTCCTGTGATCACACACAGACCTCCTCTACCCACTGTCTGCTGTGATCACACACAGACCTCCTCTACCCACTGTCTGCTGTGATCACACACAGACCTCCTCTACCCACTGTCTGCTGTGATCACACACAGACCTCCTCTACCCACTGTCTGCTGTGATCACAGACCTCCTCTACCCACTGTCTGCTGTGATCACACACAGACCTCCTCTACCCACTGTCTCCTGTGATCACACACAGACCTCCTCTACCCACTGTCTCCTGTGACCACACACAGACCTCCTCTACCCACTGTCTCCTGTGATCACAGACCTCCTCTACCCACTGTCTCCTGTGATCACACACAGACCTCCTCTACCCACTGTCTCCTGTGATCACACACAGACCTCCTCTACCCACTGTCTGCTGTGATCACACACAGACCTCCTCTACCCACTGTCTCCTGTGACCACACACAGACCTCCTCTACCCACTGTCTGCTGTGATCACACACAGACCTCCTCTACCCACTGTCTCCTGTGATCACAGACCTCCTCTACCCACTGTATCCTGTGATCACAGACCTCCTCTACCCACTGTCTCCTGTGATCACAGACCTCCTCTACCCACTGTCTGCTGTGATCACACACAGATCTCCTCTACCCACTGTCTGCTGTGATCACAGACCTCCTCTACCCACTGTCTCCTGTGATCACACACAGACCTCCTCTACCCACTGTCTGCTGTGATCACAGACCTCCTCTACCCACTGTCTCCTGTGATCACACACAGACCTCCTCTACCCACTGTCTGCTGTGATCACACACAGACCTCCTCTACCCACTGTCTGCTGTGATCACACACAGACCTCCTCTACCCACTGTCTCCTGTGATCACACACAGACCTCCTCTACCCACTGTCTCCTGTGATCACGCACAGACCTCCTTTACCCACTGTCTGCTGTGACCACACACAGACCTCCTCTACCCACTGTCTCCTGTGATCACACACAGACCTCCTCTACCCACTGTCTCCTGTGATCACGCACAGACCTCCTCTACCCACTGTCTGCTGTGACCACAGACAGACCTCCTCTACCCACTGTCTGCTATGATCACAGAGACCTCCTCTACCCACTGTCTCCTGTGATCACAGAC